GTGCCTACATCAATGCGAAGAACATAGGCAATAAGCCTCAGAATAAGCTCCATACGTAAGCATAAAGAAAACCTGTACACAGTCTGCACTGCAATGACATTACTTTTAGAGTATTGTCCACTGAGAGAGAATCAATAAGAGAGCTTTAATTCCCGGTAGAAAGAGCCATAGTCATTTATCTGTCAGTACAGCGTATGTCCCCAGGTTAGCTGACTCTGCCTCAGTGCTGGAACACAACCAGAACAGAGATGGAACACAGGCCCACTCTACAGGCTGCAACCACTAAGGATTCTGTCAGGTTAGGGTTAGGGTTCGTAGTTTAGGTGGTTGTAAGTGGGCCTGCGAACCTGATAAGAGGCAGTGCCCCCCCCCCCCCCCTCTCTCTCTCTCTCGCTCCTTCTCTCTCTCTGTCTCCTGATGTTGGTATTAAATAAGTAGTCAAAACAATGCAGCCTGACCACATAAGAAGACAAAACAGGAAGTAGTTGGTTGTTGTTAGCTAGCTACTGTTTTTGACAATCCGGAATGTAATCTTCCATCCTTCGTCATCCTGTCTTTCATAGCCCTTATGCTGGCACCATCTGGAAGTGTAACTTTCCTTTATGTTTTATGAATACTTTCATGTTGTTGTTTAGCTGTTTATATAACTTTTTACCACAGCAAAGAGATTGCTAGCCAAAATTGTCTTGTGTTTAGCCAAGTTGTTTGCTAGCCCCATTGAAATGTAGCCTCTGTTTTCGTCCTTGCTAGCTAAGTATGTGTGTTTGTATGCAAATGAAAAGTATGTTCATATTGTTATACCTACCCATTTTACTTAGCTCTTTTGGCTTTTGGCCTGTTGCCAAGGAGGCCCTCGACATAAGACTGGAGGCCATTGTTGGTAAGATGAACATTGTTTATCAAATGTTTTTCTGTGTTGTTTTATGTGACCTCTGTTAGCAGATGATTGAGAATGGCTTTTATAATTACTGTCTCTTGTGCTTGTCTTTATTTGCTGAAAGGTTACGAGGTGGAGAAATGTGGCTGTCACAAAAAAGAGGATCTGAAGATAGTTAAGTCAAAGCTGAATAAAGACAAGGCCTCAAAGGGATTAACAAAAACATTGAAATATGTAATTGAATGTGTAATTAATAATTCCACGAAAAAAAAAATCTGCAATTACGTTTGTATAAGCGTATTATTTATTGTTTGATTATATAACTAAAGTTAGAAACTTGAGGAAATAACATGTGCATTAGTCTAGTAGTAACACATTACTGAATCAAGAAGATGTCAATAGTGATTCTGAAAAGGCAACCAGCAGTAAACGTGTCAATTTTTTATAGTAATTCTAAAGGTTTTATGTAGGAAATTAAAAAGGATCAGAAGCAATTCAGTAGTGATCAGTAGTGACACAACACTACACACGTAAATGGCAGTACTAATTCAATAGTGATTCAGTAGGCTTACAACAGTAATGTGTAGGCCTTTTATAGTAATTCAATAGTGAACATGTCGGAAGTGAGTAGGAAATATGTAGTGTTCACAATTAGTGAAACGTCCCAATTTATCATTAATTACAACGTAAACCACTACTGTTTTACTCCACATCTCAGTAGCAATCAAGTAGTAAAACCAGTAGGTTATGTGTAGATCTTGTGTAGTAGTGATGAGTATTAAAACCAGTAGGTTATGTGTAGATCTTGTGTAGTAGTGATGAGTATTAAAACCAGTAGGTTTATGTGTAGATCTTGTGTAGTAGTGATGAGTAGTAAAACCAGTAGGTTATGTGTAGATCTTGTGTAGTAGTAATGAGTATTAAAACCAGTAGGTTATGTGTAGATCTTGTGTAGTAGTGATGAGTATTAAAACCAGTAGGTTATGTGTAGATCTTGTGTAGTTTTGATGAGTAGTAAAACCAGTAGGTTATGTGTAGATCTTGTGGTAGTAGTAATGAGTAGTAAAACCAGTAGGTTATGTGTAGATCTTGTGTAGTAGTAATGAGTAGTAAAACCAGTAGGTTATGTGAGATCTAGGTAGTAGTAATATGATATTAAAAACCAGTAGTTATGGTAATCTGTGTAGTATGATGAGTATTAAAACCATAGTATGTTAGAATGTGTAGTAGTGATGAGTAATTAAACAGTAGGTTAATGTGAATTGTGAGTGATGCTGAGTAGTAAAACACAGTAAGGTTATGGTGTATATCATGTGTATTAGTAATGGTAGTAAAACCAGTAGGTTATGTGTAGATCTTTTAGTAGTGATGAGTTAACAACGTAGGTTATGTGTAATCTTGTGATATAATGAGTAGTAAAACAGTAGTTATGTGTAGATCTTGTGTAGTATGATAGTAAAACCATAGTCATAGTAGATTTTAGAGTGATGAGTTAAAACCATAGGTTATGTGTAATCTGTGTATAGTGATAGTAGTAAACCAGTAGGTTATGTGTAGATCTTGTGTAGTAGTGATGAGTAGTAAAACCAGTAGGTTATGTGTAGATATTGTGTAGTAGTAATGAGTAGTAAAACCAGTAGGTCATGAGTAGATATTGTGTAGTAGTGATGAGTATTAAAACCAGTAGGTTATGTGTAGATCTTGTGTAGTAGTGATGAGTAGTTAAACCAGTAGGTTATGTGTATATCTTGTGTAGTAGTTATGAGTAGTAAAACCAGTAGGTTATGTGTAGATCTTGTGTAGTAGTAATGAGTAGTAAAACCAGTAGGTTATGTGTAGATCTTGTGTAGTAGTGATGAGTAGTAAAACCAGTAGGTTATGTGTAGATCTTGTGTAGTAGTAATGAGTAGTAAAATCAGTAGGTTATGTGTAGATCTTGTGTAGTAGTAATGAGTAGTAAAACCAGTAGGTTAAGTGTATATCTTGTGTAGTAGTAATGAGTAGTAAAACCAGTAGGTTATGTGTATATTTTGTGTAGTAGTAATGAGTAGTAAAACCAGTAGGTTATGTGTATATCTTGTGTAGTAGTAATGAGTAGTTAAAACCAGTAGGTATGTGTAGATCTTGTGTAGTAGTAATGAGTAGTAAAACCAGTAGGTAATGTGTAGATCTTGTGTAGTAGTGATGAGTATTAAAACCAGTAGGTTATGTGTAGATCTTGTGTAGTAGTAATGAGTAGTAAAACCAGTAGGTTATGTGTAGATCTTGTGTAGTAGTAAAACCAGTAGGTTATGTGTATATCTTGTGCAGTAGTAATGAGTAGTAAAACCAGTAGGTTATGTGTAATCTTGTGTAGTAGTGATGAGTATTAAAACCAGTAGGTTATGTGTAGATCTTGTGTAGTAGTGATGAGTATTAAAACCAGTAGGTTATGTGTAGATCTTGTGTAGTAGTGATGAGTATTAAAACCAGTAGGTTATGTGTAGATCTTGTGTAGTAGTGATGAGTAGTAAAACCAGTAGGTCATGAGTAGATATTGTGTAGTAGTAATGAGTAGTAAAACCAGTAGGTCCTGAGTAGATATTGGGTAGTAGTAATGAGTAGTAAAACCAGTAGGTTATGTGTAGATCTTGTGTAGTAGTGATGAGTAGTAAAACCAGTAGGTTAAGTGTATATCTTGTGTAGTAGTATTAAGTAGTAAAACCAGTAGGTTATGTGTAGATCTTGTGTAGTAGTGATGAGTAGTAAAACCAGTAGGTTATGTGTAGATCTTGTGTAGTAGTGATGAGTAGTAAAACCAGTAGGTTATGTGTATATCTTGTGTAGTAGTAATGAGTAGTAAAACCAGTAGGTTATGTGTAGATCTTGTGTAGTAGTAAAACCAGTAGGTTATGTGTATATCTTGTGTAGTAATGAGTAGTAAAACAGTAGGTTATGTGTAGACCTTGTGTAGTAGTAATGAGTATTAAAACCAGTAGGTTATGTGTAGATCTTGTGTAGTAGTGATGATAGTTAAAACCAGTAGGTTATGTGTAGATCTTGTGTAGTAGTGATGAGTAGTAAAACCAGTAGGTTATGTGTATATCTTGTGTAGTAGTGATGAGTAGTTAAACCAGTAGGTTATGTGTAGATATTGTGTAGTAGTGATGAGTATTAAAACCAGTAGGTTATGTGTAGATCTTGTGTAGTAGTGATGAGTAGTTAAACCAGTAGGTTATGTGTAGATCTTGTGTAGTAGTGATGAGTATTAAAACCAGTAGGTTATGTGTAGATCTTGTGTAGTAGTAATGAGTATTAAAACCAGTAGGTTATGTGTAGATATTGTGTAGTAGTGATGAGTAGTAAAACCAGTAGGTTATGTGTAGATCTTGTGTAGTAGTAATTAGTATTAAAACCAGTAGGTTATGTGTAGATATTGTGTAGTAGTGATGAGTAGTAAAACCAGTAGGTTATGTGTATATCTTGTGTAGTAGTGATGAGTAGTTAAACCAGTAGGTCATGTGTAGATCTTGTGTAGTAGTAATTAGTATTAAAACCAGTAGGTTATGTGTAGATATTGTGTAGTAGTGATGAGTAGTAAACCCAGTAGGTTATGTGTAGATCTTGTGTAGTAGTAATGAGTAGCAATTCAGTAGTACTTTTTCATGAGGGGAAGTACATTTATATTACACTCTTGTCATTAGTCACATACAGAGAAATGCTAGGCCTATAAAATGCACCTAATTTAAAAACATAATATTCTGGTACAGGGTAACATTCACCTGAAATTAAACTGTAATTTAACAATATTTAATAAACATTACATTAGTGACACTGATAGAAGAAATAACACACTGTGAACACATCTTTTAAAAGCAGGAGTTTTCATGCCTACATGATCTTGAAAATGGCTTGATTGATCAGATTTAATTTTACAGTTATATAAAAAGTCATATTAAAACGTAACAATATAACAATAACAATAACCATATCAACGATGCCTTCACTTGAAGGTTCCAGAGAAAGTTCAAGAGGAACTACCTTTTATTTATCTATAGAGAAAAAAAACAATGACTGATAAGTTCAAATCTGTCCTGCTAGGTCACAATTGTCTGTTCTGTTCTGACACACCTGTAGGTCTCCCTCACCTGTCCTTCCTTCCACGCCCCCTGGCGTTGATCCGCTTCTCCCTGTTCCTCTGTTTCCTGGCTCCATGCATAGTCTTGTCCTCTCCATCCAGGAGCTCTTTAGGGAACAGACTCCGCTCGTCAAAGGCAGCCTTCACCACTGCATGAGGGCACAGAGAGGGAATAACATCCTGAAGCTAGTCAGACACAAAATAACAGACCTGTATTCTATCTTTCAACTATACATGATCTTAAAACGACTTATTAATCAAACTTTTGGTTTTATATTTTTGTTTCTTTTTATTCACACCAATAAAGGGGCGTACCCTCACTGTTGGCAGGTATGGCTGGGTATATTGGGCTGGTATTGTCTCTATGGTTGAAGTAGCGGTGTGGGTGTGTGATAAACTCTGGCCTGGACAGCTCTCCTACAGACTGTACTTCTCCGATACGCAGCCCACTGAACGTACCTGCAGAGGGAGGACACACACACACACACACACACACACACACACACACACGACTTCAGATAAGAGGAGAAAGGAAGGCTGGCAGGAGAATACAGGGAGGGAACCCATTAGCTGAGTCTGGACTTACCAACATCAGTATTCAGTGGTGTCTCCCTATGGCCAGGTCGGCTGTCACTCACCCTAAGGCCCCGCCTCTCCTTGTAGCTCCGCCCCAAAACACTACTTGGAGGAAGACAGTCACCGGGAATACTACAGACACACAAACACACACATCATGCAGACATCACAGTGAATTACTAGATGAAAGACATTATGTCATGTGTTGGTGTATGGCGAATATCTAGTTAGCTACAACCAGTCTTTTGTCTCCAGTGGGATTTCTAGCTGTGTACAGTATGTTCAGTCCCTTTCAGAACGTATTACGATCATAAAGTTCAGACTGTCTTGTTGTGACACAGTGGGAACCTACATTGACCCCAGCTCCTCTCTCTCCAGGCCTGTGTCCTCCCCAGCCTCCTCTGTCTCCACTACTGCTCTGCTCTCCTCCCGCACCTTGAGGGGTTGGCTGTCCAGCTCAGGGTCTGTCCCACTGGGGCTCTGCGGCGACAATGTCCCCTCCCTGGGCTCTCCTTCTCCCCCTTGGACAGATCCAGGCCCGTCCAAACGCCAGTGCTCCTCCTAAAGATGTGTGTATGTGTGTGTGTGTGTGGGGGGGGGGGGGGGTTAAACTCAGTAAGCATCTTTTTACAAACACACTTCTAAACAGAGTTTAGTCCGGTTTCATTTCTAATTCATCAGCCACACACCTCCCACATACTGTTCACACACTCAGTCAGAGTGATAATCACTGCCTACCAGAGTGATGCCTACAACAGTGATGCCACCAGAGTAATGCCTACCAGAATGATGCCTACCAAAGTGATAATCACTGCCTACCAGTGATGCCTACCAGAGTGATGCCTACCAGAGTAATGCCTACCAGAGTGATGCCTACCAGAGTGATAATCACTGCCTACTAGAGTGATGCCTGCCAGAGTGATGCCTACCAGAGTGATGCCTACCAGAGTGATGCCTACCAGTGTAATGCCTATCAGAGTGATTATCACTGCCTACCTGAGTGATGCCTACCAGAGTGATGCCTACCAGAGTGATGCCTACCAGAGTGATAATCACTGCCTACCAGAGTGATGCCTACCAGAGTGATAATCACTGCCTACCAGTGATAATCACTGCCTACCAGAGTGATGTCTACCAGAGTGATGCCTACCAGAGTGATAATCACTGCCTACCAGAGTGATGCCCACCGGAGTGATGCCTACAGAGTGATAATCACTGCCTACCAGTGATGCCTACCACTGCCTACCAGAGTGATGCCTACCAGAGTAATGCCTACCAGAGTGATAATCACTGTCTACCAGAGTGATGCCTACCAGAATAATGCCTACCAGAGTGATGCCTACCAGAGTGATAATCACTGCCTACCAGAGTGATGCCTACCAGAGTGATAATCACTGACTACCAGAGTGATAATCACTGACTACCAGAGTGATAATCACTGCCTACCAGAGTGATAATCACTGCCTACCAGAGTGATAATCACTGCCTACCAGAGTGATGCCTACCAGAGTGATAATCACTGCCTACCAGAGTTCATAGGGTTACTGGGTGTGTAGATCAGTGGCGGTCGGTGCCGTTTAAGATGAGGGAGGACGATATTTTTCATGAGCATTACCTTATTTCTATTACAGCATGTTGGATGACTGTCATTCATATTCCATTCACCCAGTTCAATGTAACATTGATAGATTTAGGCTACTACATAATACTCAAAATGTCCCTATACCCATCATGAGGTTGCTACAACCTAGCTTATAAATGAAGGTTTACAACGTAGGTGTACAGGTTGAGATACATTTTAGTAATCAAGGTGACAGACAGTGACACATTCAATACCGCCTTGCACACTCTTGCCTGCATCTAGCTGATCTAGGGCGTAATCATTAGTCCAACAGTGGCAAATAAGAGTTTCTATTGGACAAATTCATGTTTATCCCCATTTCGTTACGTTTGTTTCCATTTAAGACACGTTTTTCAACAGAATCGGTAGAATGAATACACCCCTGATCACAAGCAAACTCAGTTCATTTTCATAGCAGCCACATACAAACAGCATGATCCCATTGATCGTTGTATAAAAACATTTGAAGCCAAACCTTCATATCATGACCGCTAACCGCTACACACAGCCTACATCGTTGTCACCATAATAACGTCATAGTCAACATAGCTACTAGAACTAACGCGTTGGTAAACCCACTACAATCATGCAGTACAGTGTATATTCAGCAAGCAGTTTAGCAGTTACACCGGCGGGCCCCGGTGGCAATAAATTAATAAAACCAAAAGCTTACCTTGACTTAGCTAGCTAGCTAACATAGCATCCCTCTCTGTTTGAGCCAGGTGTTTGAGTAGGCTAAACTAGCTAGCTGCATTAGCTAGCTAAGTAAGTGAAAGTTTAAAAAAATATATATATATAGCTAGCTCTCGCTTCTTCATTTTTTAAGAAATTAAACTGTTCAACTATTGTCTTTCTCTCTATTTGAGTCAACTACTCACCACATGTTAAAAACTGCAGTGCTAGCTAGCTGTAGCTTATGCTTTCATTACTAGATTCATTCTCTGATCCTTTGATTGGGTGGACAACATGTCACAGGAGGCTGCTGAGGGGAGAACGGCTCATAATAATGGCCTTAACGGAGCAAATGGAATGGCATTAAACACCTGGAAACCATGTGTTTGATGTATTTGATACCATTCCACTAATTCCACTCCAGTCATTACCATGAGCCCGTTCTCCCCAATTAAGGTGCCACCAACCTCCTGTGATGTCAGTTCATGCTGCAAGAGCAAGAGGACGTCCTCCGGTAGTTGTCATAATTACTGTGTAAGTCTATGGAAGGGGGTGAAACCACGAGCCTCCTAGGTTTTGTATTGAAGTCAAGGAGGACAGAAACTGTAGGATGCTACCCTACGGAGTGCTGTTGAGGATACTGTAGACCTTCATTGCAAAGCAGTGTGTTTTACTCAACTATTTTATATTTAGTATAGTTGTATCTAAAAAGGATATCCTTTTTTTATGTTTCACTATTTCTTTTTATGAAATTCATTGAGGAGGATGGTCCTCCCCTTCCTCCTCTGAGGAGCCTCCACTGGTGTAGATGAGTACCTGTTACACACCTGTGACCGAGCACACACACACACACATACACACACACACACACACACACACACCTGTCCGAACACGCCCACTGTGTCCCCAGGCAGGTAGCTGAGAGCTACGCTACAGTCTGCAGATGCTGAGAGGAGGAGGAGCCTGTCACCATGGAGACAAGTCTCCAGGTGAGTTACACAGTCCATGTGTGGGCGGAGTCTACCCAGCAGTTCTGGAGCCTCATTGGTCACTCCGTTGCTGGGCAGGAGGCAGTATTCCTAATGGACAGGCAGACAAACACACACACAGAACACCACAACAAATAATCACAGACCATTAAAGCTACTAAACAGGAAATGTCTGGGGCTAGTATAGAGGTTTCTCTCTCCCTCTCCCACCTGTATGCCCCAGGTCTTCAGGGTTCCCTCCATGTCAGCAGTGACCAGGTATCGACCACAGGCGCTCATGGTCATGATGATGGAACCTGTGTCTTTATGAGCCATGAACACAGCAACCAGACCGCTCTGGACCGTGTTCCAGAACCGAACCAGACCAGAACCGCCACATGAGACCAGGTCCGCTCCACCTACCGAACAGAACGGGGCCAGTCAGTGACTAGAATAGTATAATAGAATACAATAGAATCACGTATCCTTTCACAGCAGTCTACAAAGACACCATCTCTCACCAGCGGTGGCCACGCCATTGCGTCCTGGCAGGAAGAAGAGTCTGGAGACGCCATCACTGCTCTCTGAGTCCTCCTCACCGTTTCCATTACACACTGATGATGAGTCTTGTGTAGAGTGTGGGGGTTAAGCAGTAGTACTTCTAGTAGTACGTTTGACAGGTGGTGTGTGAGTGTGTGTTTGGTTCTGACCTGTCTGAGCCTTGCTGCATTCTCTCTCAGGATCTGGACGGAGCTTTCTCAGGGCGTTCTCTGTGCTGTTGTTCCATACCGTGAGCTCCCCGTCATAACTTCCTGTCCACACAGAAAACAGGAAGCAAACAGGATATGCACATTACGAAATCTCTTCACTCTTTGCCAAACTTTCCAGAACCTTTCAGAATCATTTTCCTGAAGGTGCAGTGTGTCATGTTATGATTACACCTTCATAGCGCTTTACAAACAATACCACAACATATGTTCTTTCTGGGCCTGCCAACACTGATCATAGTACAGCATGATACAACATGGCTCCTCTGTGTGATGTGAGGGTTCAGGAGGAGCTTATCTGAATACAGCATGATACAACATGGCTCCTCTGTGTGATGTGAGGGTTCAGGAGGAGCTTATCTGAATACAGCATGATACAACATGGCTCCTCTGTGTGATGTGAGGGTTCAGGAGGAGCTGATCAGTAGGAGAGAGAAGGAGCAGTAGGAGGAGGAAGAGGAGGTAGAGAAGGAGGAGGAAGAGGAGGAGGGAGAGAAGGAGGAGGAAGAGGGAGAGAAGGAGGAGGAAATGAGGATGGAGGAAGGAGGAGGAGGAAAAAGGAGGTCGAGAGATGGAGGCAGGCCAGATGAATAGGATGGAACTCCGAGGTGTCTCTTCAGCGTAGGACAGTCTGTGGAGCGTCGTCGGTAGGAGGACGTGCTACGAAGAGAGGGTAAGAGAAGAGGAGAAGAGATGTGATGAAAGGAGTTCAGTATCGTAATGTTGAGCAGTCGAGAACGGTTTATGAGTGTTGCACATTGAGGGAGCCCAATGCATTATTCATGCTGCCCAGGGGCCAGCTATATCCACTGACTGTTAGCACTGCCTCTCTCTCTCATGGTATCCTTATTTCTTTCTCTCGGTCTCTCTCTCAGTCTCCTGCAGTGTGCACAGACAGACTCCCAGGAGGCTCACAGCGTGGGGAATCGGTAGAATAGAAAGAGAGAGAAGTGAGGAGGTTGAGAGGACCGTTTATCGGGAGTGAAGGATGCTTCACGCAGGGTGAGCGTCACAGAGCCTAAAGAGAGAGAGTGACAGAGAGAGAAGAGGAAGATGAAGAGAGAGAAGAGGGGAGAGAGAGGAGAGAGAGAGAGAGAGAGAGAGAGAGAGAGGGAGGAGAGAGGAGAGGGAGGGGGAGGGGGAGGGAGAGAGAGAGAGAGGCTAGAGGCTAGAAGAATACCCCGTGGCGTTCAGACATAATGACATTACTCACCCACATGCTGTGCTCTAACATGTCTCCTGGATACATTACATCACTATACATGACTTAACATGAATACACTGAGTATACCAAACACTTATGGACCATTCTTGACACACACGGGAAACTGTTGAGCATGAAAAACCCAGCAGCATTGCAGTTCTTGAAACATACCGGTGCGCCTACCTCATTCGAAGGCACTTAAATCTTTTGTCTTGCCCATTCACCCTCTGAATGGCACACATACACAATGTCTCAAAATCCTTCTTTAACCTGTCTCCTACCCTTCATCTACACTGATTAAACAAGTGACATCAATAAGGGATCATAGCCTTCACCTGGATTCACCTGGTCAGTCTATGTCATGGAAAGAGCAGGTGTTCTTAATGTTTTGTATACTCAGCGTACATGGTCCTGGGCCCATATGCGTCATGCCCATCACATTTACATAAAGACATGCCTACAGACAGACCTAGTCAAACATATAAAAAGACACTACTTTGTAACACAAAACAATATGGAGGTTTAGGGCTTACTTTTCCAGCATAGTCAAGGCACTTATTATGTGGAGGGAAAAGTTTAAGTTTAAGAAGCTTTAATTACCTTGACTTCTTATGTCCCAAACCTCTTTTAGGTCAATTAGATGAGATGAGCAGGTGGATAGGGGAGACGGGAGGAAGAAGAGAGAGACTGCCTGCTTTAGGGGTGAAATACGGGGAGTGAAACGAAAGAGAGAGCAGTAAAGAGGGAGGAAGGCCGTGAGTGTCGGAGCGCGAGGAGCGGCCAAGCAAAGCGCTGCACAGAGTTTGAATATTGATGAGGAGAGTACAGTTCTCCTGCATTCTGATTCTCATGCACACATACGCAAAGATCCATACACACACACATACACAGACGTACGCACACACACACACCCTACTTCAGGCCTAAAAGGCAGACTACTCAGGTTAATTTTCCTCTCTGTCACACAGGGAGAGCTAATAAACATAACTTAATTTGGGAGAGAGAGAGGGAAGGAGAGAGAGAATGGAGAGAGTGGGTGAGAGAGCGACAGAGAGAGCGAGAGAACGAGATAAATATGTTTTGAAAGTATCTTGTCCTATCTTTCTGTTCCCAACTTTTCTAATCTAACAGAAACAGTCTGCTTTCCTTCCATTCTATTTATATGTCCAAAGTCTTCTCTTATATTCTTCTAAATGTTCCCTCTCTGTTCTTTTCCTTTGCCTTGTACTCATCGCTGCAGTGAATCTTTCACAGAGTAGCCATTGTGCAAGATGAGTGTAGTCTGTGCTGTACCTCTCAACAGGAACATTGCCACCGTATCTCAGAACTATAGCTCTACAACTGTGCTAGTTTAGCTTTGTGAAGACATTTCTATCTATACAGTACACAGGAGAGATCCATTTCTGTTTCATGGAACAGTCTTCATAATAGACCAACCTTTCAGTCCTCTACACAGGAGAGGCCTCTCGATAGAGACGTGTGTATTCATAAGAAGAAGACCATTCTATAGTAATGGCCCCCAGATAAGCACCTGCATCTCAAAGCTCCCGATAAATCCTGAAGTGATGTTAATGGAAGATTAGTGCGGTTAACATTAAGGTTGATCTCCTAATCATTCTGATGGGTTATTCTCTGTGGGTAAGCATTAGTACTTAATGGTAGCCATGTTGAGCCTGAGTTCAGGCCTCCGCTGGGGGTGCTGTGTGCCTGTGGGCCTGACAGGCAGATATCGGGCATACACACACATACTCACATTTGCACACGCACGCACGCACGCACACACACACGCGCGCGCACAGACACACACACACACCCACACACACAAAGCTCCCGAGCAGAGAGACCGTGGGAGCACAGTGCCTTTGATAACACCACTCACTTTAATCACCAGCTAATTGCTCCCAGATAGTTTTACTTCAGTGGATTTTTTCTCTATTTCTCTCCTTCTGTTGCTTGAGCGGGCAATCTTTCATTCTAATGGAAGTCCACACACACAGAGACACATACTGTACACACAAATGTACACACACACACACACACAGACTCAAACACACACCTGTGACAAGGGTCTGAGGGGGCAGGAATGCGGCACACAGGACATAATCGCGGTGCTGAACTCCTCCCTTCCACTCAGAGGGCTGAACAAAGAACTGAGAGAACGAGTGCAGTCTGAACACTGTTAACATCCTGCAGAGAGAGAGAGAGAGAGAGAGGAGGAGAGCGAGAGGAGAGAGAGAGAGAGAGAGAGAGAGAGAGAGAGAGTATGAGTATCTTTGACTATGTACACGACCCTTGCTAATGAGAAAGGCATCTGCAACCTGGCTCTCAAAGAAGACAGGCTATGTGCAAACACTGCCCACAAAAGAGGTGGAAACTGACTGACACTTCCTAAACCCTCCCTGCCAAATGTAGGTATCCATAAAATTTGGAACACTACTTCCTAATTATCCAGCCCAAAAGAATTTGAAGACAACAATCCAATTTGATAAACTCCCATAAATATTGTGAAAATACCACAGTGTGTCATCAAACTCCAACATTGGTGAACCACTGTCACAAGAAAGGGCACCAGTGAAGAACAACCACACATTATAAATACAGCCTATATTTATGTTTATTTATTTTCCTTTCATACTTTAACTATTTGCACATCATTACAACACTGTATATATACACATAATATGACACTTGTCTATTATTTTTTAAATGTTGTTTACTGTTAATTTTTTTATTGTTTAATTCACTTTTGTTTATCATCTATTTCACTTGGTTTGGCAATGTAAACATATGTATCCCATGCCAATAAAGCCCCTTACATTGAATTGAATTGAGAACGAGTGAGAGATAGGTAAAGAGAGAGAGAGGGTCACTACTAGGACTGTTCCCTTCACTCTGTTATAACTGCTGTTACTAGCTATGCCAGGGAAAACCGGCCATTATCAGCTCATTGTTATTGATGTATCCAAATGAATGTCAATAGAAAACAGCTACTTTGCTGTTATTCTGGCTGCAGAGGTCGTAACTGTGTTAGCCGTAGCTAGCTGGCTAGCTAGCAAGCAAGGGATTAGAACGTTGCCAGCGAGCATGGCAATGGAACATTTAGAATGAACAACTGGGTTGCGTCCATAAACATCAAATGAACGACTGGGTCGGGTCTCTAGCATTCAAAAGATGAGAAAGTATGAATTAGCATATTAAAGTTAAAATCTCAACGAAAAAAAGGTATTTATACCAGTAAATGTGTGCTTTCATATTATTTTCTTTGGCAACTGTGGTATAAGCGGGATAAACGCCTCCGTTTTGTACATTACCTAGGAAAAATGAACTCGGCAAAGGGACTTGGCAGTGTCTTCCATTATTTCCAAGGTAATGTACAGAACGTTGGCGTTTATCCCTTTCTTATCACACTAACACACTGTTATAGCTAATGTTACTCCTGGGTGTTTCACTGCCAGAGACTCTCAACTGATGTGAAGGAAGGAAGAGAGATTCATTGGACACTGTGTTAACAAACCTCCAAACGAGCTTCAACGCCATACAACACTCCTTCAGTGGCCTCCAACTGCTCTTAAACACTAGTAAAACTAAATGCATGCTCTTCAATCGAACGCTGCTGGCACCCGCCCACCCGACTAGAATCACTACTCTCGACTGGTCTGACCTAGAGTATGTGGACAACTACAAATACCTAGGTGTCTGGTTAGACTGTAAACTCTCCTTCCAGACTCACATTAAGAATCTCCAATCCAAAGTTAAATCTAGAATTGGCTTCCTATTTCGCAACAAAGCCTCCTTCACTCATGCTGCCAAACATGCCCTCGTAAAACTGACTATCCTACCGATCCTTGACTTCGGCGATGTCATTTACAAAATAGCCTCCAACACTCTACTCAGCAAATTGGATGTAGTCTATCACAGTGCCATCCGTTTTGTCTCCAAAGCCCCATACACTACCCACCACTGTGACCTGTACGCTCTTGTTGGCTGGTCCTCACTACATGTTCGTCGTCAAACCCACTGGCTCCAGGCCATCTATAAATCACTGCTAGGCAAATCCCCGCCTTATCTTAGCTCATTGGTCACCATAGCAGCACCCACCCATAGTCTGCGCTCCAGCAGGTATATCTCACTGGTCATCCCCAAAGCCAACACCTCCTTTGGCCGCCATTCCTTCCAGTTCTCTGCTGCCAATGACTGGAACGAATTGCAAAAATCTCTGAAGCTGGAGACTCTTATCTCCCTCACTAACTTTAAGCATCAGTTGTCAGAGCACCTTACCGATCACTGCACCTGTACACAGCCCATCTGAAATTAGCCCACCCAACTACCTCATCCCTATATTGTTATTTATTTTGCTCTTTTGCACCCCAGTATCTCTATTTGCACATAATCTCTTGCACATCTAGCATTCCAGTGTTAATACTAATTGTATTATTTTGCACTATAGCCTATTTATTGCCTTACCTCCATAACTTGCTACATTTGCACACACTGTATATATATTTTCTGTTGTATTTTTTGACTTTATGTTTTTTTACCCCATATGTAACTCTGTGTTGTTGTTTTTATCGCACTGCTTTGCTTTATCTTGGCCAGGTCACAGTTGTAAATGAGAACTTGTTCTCAACTGGCTTACCTGGTTAAATAAAGGTGAAATATATATTTATTTTTTTAAAGAGATGAACCAGCAGACAGACACACAACCACTGACAGACAGACAGACAGACAGACAGACAGACAGACAGACAGACAGACAGACAGACAGACAGACACAACAACAGACAGACAGACAGACAGACAGACAGACAGACAGACAGACAGACAGACAGACAGACAGACAGACAGACAGACAGACAGACAGACAGACAGACAGACAGACAGTTGAATGTGCAGATCTTAGGTCTTAGGGACACACACTCATACCTCTCCCAGCCCATGACCAGCACGGTTCTCTTCAGCACCAGAACCTGGGAGATGTCCACGGCCTGGTCCCGGCCCGCATTCAGCCTGTGGTGGCAGTGACCGTTAAAGTCCCAGATCTAGAACCGCACAGAACTACACAGTTAGAACCGCACAGTTACAACCACACAGCCAGAACCACACAGTTAGTAACACAGAACCACACAGTTAGAACCAATAAATACAGATCTAGAACCTAGAACAGACACCCCATCAAATTGACACCACCAGGTTAACATTGAAACAAAGATTCAAGGAGACAGAAACATTTACCACTGGGACAGACAGACAGACAGACAGACGGACGGACAGACAGACAGACAGACAGACAGACAGACAGACAGACAGACAGACAGACAGACAGACAGACAGACAGACAGAAGCACAGACAAAGTCAGACAAACACACACTCCCCTGGGGGGTTCGGACACAACCACAAGTAAACACAGCCGGTAGTCAGCTGACCAGAAAGCTCCTGACACAACAGAAACACTAGCAGAGAAGATTAAACACGTTTCACAGAGAGTCAAATGTCAGATAGCCTCCGCCCAACACTGCTTCTGCTGCCTCAAACCTCCACATGTTAGGGGTCACACTCACTGGACTCAATCAACAAACAGTCTCACAACACAATTCTATTGTAATGTATTCTATTTCACCCAATTCTTCCATTTCAAAACAACTTAGGCAACATATTAAGGTCCCTTCTCTTGAAGATATATTATTAAACATTTGTTATATGGATATGTATGTATCTGTGGATGTAGCTATGGTTATTGTATGCATTAGTTGCACCTATATATTTTACACAATGATCCCTGCAGAGTGCCCTACAAAATTGGAATGGAACAATATTAATATCTTAGTGTTTATATATTTCATGCTTATGGGGACTGCCTACGTTAATTAATGTAATGAGTGACCTTGACTACTCCGTCTGTGCCGGCGGTGAACAGGCGTGTCTGTGTCCCGTCCAACGCCATGGTGGAGATCTCAGCATCACCATGACAACGGTGGAACTGCTTGACCTTCTGACCTGTGTCCACCAGCCAACAGGTCACTGAGGAGCCAGAGTCACTGCTGATCGCCTGGGAAACAGAGAGGGGGGGGGGGGGAGCCAGAGTCACTGCTGATCACCTGAGAGACAGAGAGTGGGGGGGGGGGGGGAGACAGAGAGAGCGAGAGAGGGGGAGTTGTGGGAGAGGGAGAGGAGAGAGAGCGAGAGGGATGTGGGGGAGTTGTGGGAGAGGGAGAGGAGAGAGAGCGAAAGGGATGTGGGGGAGTTGTGGGAGAGGGAGAGGAGAGAGAGCGAGAGGGATGTGGGGGAGTTGTGGGAGAGAGAGAGAGAGAGAGAGAGAGAGAGAGAGAGAGAGAGAGAGAGAGAGAGAGAGAGAGAGAGCATTATCATGGTTCCTGTGTAGATGTAGGTGACTGTGCATGTGTTCCTGTGTGTGTACCTGTCTGAACAGGCTGCTATAGAGGACACAGGTGACAGGGTTCTCATGGCTGGTGACTCTCCTCCCCTCCTCTCTCTTGGCTTCCATGAGGATGAGCAGACTGTTGAAGGAGAGGAGGAGGCGTGAGCGCTCCTCATGAAGGAACAACAGAGTGTGACACTCCTCCTGTGTCTTGGGGAAGATGCCGGCGATACGCTGAATACACAGCTGACTAGCTACATCCCACAACCTCAGCACCTGAGAGAAGAGAGAGAGAGTTGTCTTAAAGTCTTCAACATGCATGAAAAAATAAGTCTCATCTTTATCATTTAGATTAAGGCATATTTCATTTAATGCATGTCTACGACACATAACAACTCCTCTTCTCCTTCTCTGTCACCTTGTCCTTGGAGAAGCTGATCAGTTGTTTCTTGCCCACTAAGAAGCGTACGGCGGTAACACTGCTCATGTGACCTCTGAGTACACCCACTGGTTTAGAGATCACATAGGGGTTCCACAGCAACACCTTGTTGTCTATACCTGCGGTGGCTGCAACCAATCAGAGAGAAGGATGTTAGTGCTGGCAGTGGTTACAACCAATGAGAAGTAAGGATAGATATTAGAACTTGGTAGGACTTGTCAGTACCTATCAGATTCATCCCAGGGTGGTGGTCCAGGTCATTGGTTCCTTTCTCCGTGTGGAAGGCGGTGACTCTGAGGGGCTCGCCCTCTCTCTCCCTCCAGCCAATCACCATGCTGCTGTGGGGGCTGGTACTGCACGACAACAACGCGTCCAAAGAGCCCAGGAAACGCACTGCAGGAAACAGGAAGTACAGGAGTAGGATGAGGTGTTTTATGAATGTAAAGAGGTGAGTAAAGAGAAAAGGAGTGGATGAAGGTGAGGAGAGAGGGGGAAGATAAGTTAGATGAGTGGATAACAAGCTAGATACACTGCATTCGGAAAGTATTCAGACCCCTTGACTTTTTCCACATTTTGTTACGTTACAGCCTTATTCTAAAATTGATTAAATTGTTTTTTTCCCTCATCAATCTACACACAATACCCCATAATGACAAAGCAAAAACAGGTTTTTAGAAATTTTTGCAAATGTATTAAAAATAAAAAACAGAAATATCACATTTAATAAGTATTCAGACCCTTTACTCAGTACTTTGTTGAAGCGCCTTTGTCAGCGATTACAGCCTCGAGTCTTCTTGGGTATGACGCTACAAGCTTGGCACACCTGTATCTGGGGAGTTTCTCCCATTCTTCTCTGCAGATCCTCTCAAGCCACTCAAGGACATTCAGAGACTTGTCCCGAAGCCACTCCTGCGTTGTCTTGGCTGTGTGCATAGGGTCGTTGTTCTGTTGGAAGGTGAACCTTCGCCCCAGTCTGAGGTCCTGAGTGCTCTGGAGCAGGTTTTCATCAAGGATCTCTCTGTACTTTGCTCAATTCATCTTTCCCTCGATCCTGACTAGTCTCCCAGACCCTGCCACTAAAAAACATCCCCACAGCATGATGCTGCCACCACCATGCTTCACCGTAGGGATGGTGCCAGGTTTCCTCCAGACGTGACGCTTGCCATTCAGGCCAAAGAGTTCAATCTTGGTTGCATCAGACCAGAGAATCTTGTTTCTCCTGGTCTGAGAGTCCTTTAGGTGCCTTTTGGCAAAATCCAAGTCGGCTGTCATGTGCCTTTTACTGAGGAGTGGCTTCCGTCTGGCCACTCTACTATAAAGGCCTGATTGGTGGAGTGCTGCAGAGATGGTTGTCCTTCTGGAAGGTTCTCCCATCTCCACAGAGGAACTCTGGAGCTCTGTCAGAGTGACCATTGGGTTCTTGGTCACCTCCCTGACTAAGGACCTTCTTCCCCTGACTGCTCAGTTTGGCCAGGCAGCCAGCTCTAGGAAGATTCTTGGTGGTTCCAAACGGTGTTCTTGGGGACCTTCAATGCTGCAGACATTTTTTGGTACCCTTCCCCAGATCTGTGCCTCGACACAATCCTGTCTCGGAGCTCTACGGAAAATTCCTTTGATCTCATGGCTTGGTTTTTGCTCTGACATGCACTGTCAACTGTGGGACCTTATATAGACAGGTGTGTGCCTTTCCAAACCATGTCCAATCAATTGAATTTACCACAGGTGTACTCCAATCAAGTTGAAAAAACATCAAGGATGACCAATGGAAACTGGATGCACCTGAGCTCAATTTCGAGTCTCATAGCAAAGGGTCTGAATACTTATGTAAATAAGGTATTTCTGTTTTTGTTTTTTTATAAATTTGCAAACATTTCTAAAATCCTGTTTTGCTTTGTCATTATGGGATATTGTGTATAGATTGATGAGGGGGAAAAAGTATTTAATCAATTTTAGAATGAGGCTGTAACGTAACAAAATGTGGAAAAGGGGAATGGGTCTGAATACTTTCCGAAGGCGCTGTATATTGACTAAGCTGCCCTACACACAGAGAGAGGAGAGCTTTGAAATGTCAGTAAGTCACGTTCTTTTGTGGCTGACATACAAACACACATAGACACACTCACACAGGTCTACTGTCAGACCCAGTGTGTCATTTCAGGAACAGGAGGGTTGAGGATCATCATGATTCTCTCCATAACATGTCATTGTTCTTTTCACAGGCAGGGTTCAGTTAGAGTTTGTGCTCTGTTGACTGTGAGAAGTCATGCGGCATCCATCTATCTATCCCTCCACACACACACACACACTGCCAGTAAAATGTAAATGAGCTAACCCTTTTTAGGTTTCCCTGTCATCTCCTCTGTTCCCTTTTGTTGAGCTTTATTGTTTGTTGTTGTTGTTGTTGTTGTTGTTTACTTGACAACCAGCGTCACAACACTTTATAACGCGGTCATAACCATGTCATAACGGCAGACATAACTTGTCATAACCTGTCGTAATATGGTCATAACACTGTCATGTCACCTGTTGTGACATATATTGTGTTATTTTATGGCTGGTTATGACACCTACATAAGAGTGTAAAAACCCACGAAACCTACCACACAAGGCAAACCATTCCATTACACCATAGCCTACGTGTCAACAGTATGTATATGCTAAATGGCATATTATTATTATTATTTATTATTATTTAACAGTATGTTTATGTTGTATAACATTTTTCTGAAATTGACCATATTCAATTATCATTGTAATTGTGCACATATTTATGTCAGACATGCACCTAACCCAGTGCTCTGTTGCTGATGACTGGGATATCAGGAGCAGGACAAGACACCCTCTTTATGACTGATGACTGACATAAGGGCCTGTACGTGATAGGCCTATCTGGCTTATGTGATTATGATGGTCATAATGCTTCATGACAGTGTCAGAAAGTGTATTTTCTACAAGTTATTTAAATAAGATGAGAAAAATGTGCCTGTAAAGAATTCATTACAACAACATTGGATTTAAGAAACAAACTTTAAACCGAAAGGACAGTTCTTGGCAGGGAAAAAACTAATTTGAATAAATGTGGGTTTTGACACGCTTATGTAGTTGTCAGAACCAGCCATAAAATAACGCAATATATGTCACAACAGGTGTAAATATATGCGTCATGACAGTGTTATGACCATATTATGACAGGTTATGACAAGTTATGTCAGCTGTTATGTGTTATGACATGGTTATGACGTGTTATGATGTGTTATGACATGTTACTACATGTTACGACGTGTTATGATGTGTTAGGACATGGTTATGATGTGTTAGGACATGGTTATGACGTGTTAGGACATGGTTATGACGTGTTATGATGTGTTATGACATGTTACTACATGGTTATGATGTGTTAGGACATGGTTACGACGTGTTAGGACATGGTTTTGATGTGTTAGGACATGGTTATGATGTGTTATGATGTGTTATGAGTTATGACATGTTACTACATGGTTATGATGTGTTAGGACATGGTTATGACGTGTTATGACATGGTTACGACGTGTTAGGACATGGTTACGACGTGTTAGGACATGGTTACAACGTGTTAGGACATGGTTATGACGTGTTAGGACATGGTTATGACGTGTTAGGACATGGTTACGACGTGTTAGGACATGGTTACAACGTGTTAGGACATGGTTATGACGTGTTAGGACATGGTTATGACGTGTTAGGACATGGTTATGACGTGTTGACGCTGTTGTTTATTCTAACTTTTGTTCTTGTTATCTCCCATGTGAGGATGACCCCCTCAGCAGAGCTTTGTGTGTGTGTGTGTGTGTGTGTGTGTGTGTGTGTGTGTGTGTGTGTGTGTTTGTGTGTGTGTGTGTGTGTGTGTGTGCGTGTGTTTAAAGGGTAAGAGGCTATATCCTGAATCACCTAATTGGTGATCTGTCTACTCTGTGTATGTCTGTATTTATGTATAGACCAGGAGCATGAGGGGGCCTGTGGACGCGTGACCCATTGTGTTTCCATGACACTGCAGAACCCGTAACCGCGGTGACAGGTTGAGTAAGCGCTGAGGATGGCTGTCACCCCAGGTGCTAAGGTGAGTGTGTCTGTGGACGGACCAACGTTCAGGGTGACACCGTGTGTGTGTTTGTAATGGCAAGTGCCAAGGTGTGTGTGATGTCCACATGTCATCCGGACACAGGGATGAAATCAGGTTGATATTATCCTCCTAGCTAGTTATTCAGACGGTGGTGCTGACATTCTGACTCTAAACTGAGAAGTGGTGAGGCATCACTTTAACTCCTGCAGTAAGCACTTTACCAACCAAGCTAATTTGCATATTAATTGATAGTGGTGTACTTCAAAGAGCTTGGGGTTATGCAAGTCAACAGAAAGCAGTCTGGGAAATGTCAACCAGCAACACCGACATGTTAATCAATGGGCCTGTCAGCTAATTAATCAGAGGTGTACTTGTGTTTGTAAGAGGGTGTGTGTTGGTGTGGACATGTTGTTTGGTGGTCATTGACACCCACCAACAGTACAAAGCCACTCAGGTCAGAAGGATAAAGGATGAGATGTATTTTGGGACAGAGCTCACCTCTGCGTACCCAGGCGTGTCCGTGAGCTCGGTGTCTGAGTGTGTAGCAGCAGCGATGGCGACCTTGAACTAGCTCCTCCCACTTGATGATGTCAGCAGATTCTGTGTCTGCCCCTGGACTGGGCCTCTCAAACAGGGAGATCTGAGCTGACCTGAAGCATATGGCACTGACCTAGGACAACACACATACACACACACACACACGAAAACACAAGCAAGAGGTTATTATCACTGGATCCTAGTGACCACAATCACTCACTTTCGCTGCTCCCCTCTCACCTGTCCCCGTCTCTCACCCTCCCCTCTACCCCTGTCCCCTCTCTCCCCCTCCCCTCTCACGCTCTCACCTGTCCCCCCCGTCTCTGCCCCCGTCCCCCTCACCTGTCCCCCTGTCCTCACCCTCCCCGCTTCCTTCCCCTGTCCCCGTCCTTCCTCCCCCGCCCCCTCTCACATGGCCCCCAGTCTCTCACCTCCCCCTCACCTGCTCCCCGGTATCTCACCTCACCCTCCCCTCTCACCTGTCCCGTTCGCTCCCCCCCCCTCCACCTGTCACCTTCCCCTCCCTTCTCCTCCCCCCCGCCCCTCTCACCTGGCCCACCGTCGCCTCACCCCTTCCCCTCTCAACCTGTCCCCGTCTCTCACCCCCCCCTGTCACCTGTCCCCTGTATCGCTCGCACCAGTCTGCTCTCACCAACTCTCCCACGTCTCCGTCTTTCTTCCTGTCCCCGTCTCTCCCCCTCTCCCTTCTCACCTGTCCCCCGGTCTCACCCCCTCCCTTCTCACCTGTCCCCCTGTCTCCTCCCCCTCCCCTTCTCACCTGTCCCCCGTCTCTTCCCCCTACACTCTCACATGTCCACCCCGTCTCTCCCCCCCCCTCCTCACCTTCCCCTGTCTCTCACCACTCCCCTCTCACCTGTCCTCATCTCCACTCACCCCCTTCTCACCTGTCTCCCTGTCTCTCTCCTGCCCCCCTGTCACTCCCCCTACCTTCTCACCTGTCCCCATCTCTCCCCCTAACCTCTCACCTGTCCCCGTCTCTCCCCCTCCCTCTCTCAGTTGTCCCTGTCTATCCCTCTCTTCTCTCACCTGTCCCCCAGTGTCTCCCCGTCTCTCACCTGTCCCCTGTGTCTCCCATGGTGAGTACAGCCTGGGCAGGGTAAGTGGGGTGACACCAGTAGTCCAGACATAGAGGGGCGTATCTCAGACCCTGGAGTTATATACTGGCAGCTAAACTGCTGCTTGGAGAGCAAGTCATAGAAACAGACCTCCTTACTGGTGAATGACACAGCTATCTGAGAGAGAGAGAGAGAGAGAAAGAGAGAGAGAGAGAGAGAAGAGAGAGAGAGAGAGGAGAGAGAGAGAGAGATAGAGAGAGAAACGATAGACAGAGAATAGAGAGATCGATAGGAGAGAGCGAGATAATCTCTCTCGCTCTTCCGCTCGATAGCATAGAGCTTAGAGAGATTCTCTCGCTTCTAGCTAGAAATCTTAATCTTGCTCTCTCTCATCAGCCTATCTCGTTTCTCTCGAGAGCAGATAGAGGAGAGATTTTCACTTGCTTGGCAATGTAAACCTATGTTCCCATGGCAATAACGCCCTTAAATGAAATTGAAGAGAGAGAGAGAGAGAGAGATAGAGAGAGAGAAGAGAGAGAGAGAAGAGAGACAGAGACATAGAAAGATATAACAGAGTCAGACAGAGAGAGAGGAGACAGACAGAGAGACAGAGACAGAGACAGAGACTACAGAGAGAGAGAGAGATAGAGAGAGAAGATATCTATGAGCGAGAGAGAGAGAGAGATAGTAGAGATCTCGAACAAGGAAGACAGGAGAGACAGAGACAGAGATGATAGGGATGGATGCAGGTCATCTCAGTGATTGATTGATTGATTGATTGGCTGAGTTGGACTGGACCTTGTGTACGTTGTGCAGCACCACCATAGCTGTTACCCAGAGATCTTTGGGCCTGACAGAGTCGTTGTGGAGGCGGTGTGTTTGGAGAAGGGCGAAGTCCTCCCCCGCCCACACCCCCAGCGTGCCCCCCTTACTCACTGACAGGTACCGGCCTGAGCTACGCAGGTACACCACCTGGGGTAACCATAGAGATGTCAACCACCGATGGAGAATACCATAAAATGCTTATATTCATCTTATAAGTTATTATTTCATTATTCCATTATTTCATTATTAGCAAAATTACAGCATTGTGAGTTGATAGGCTCAAGATGTGTTTAGTGTTACCTGTTGGATAGGGTCACGGTGTGGAGGGGTCAGAGTTCGAGGAGGTCTCCAGCGAGGCACGGTGGCAGCTCGTTCATTCTCCTCCTTTTCTGACAGCCCTATCAGCAGGAAGGAAGTCAGCCTCTCCCAGTCCACTGCCCTCTCCCCTCGCTCGTCAGCACTGTCCAATAGCAGGCTATGCTGCTCCTGAGTGACGACAACACTGTCGAATAGGAGGCCGTACTCCTCCCTGGAGCCACGTCTCACTGCAGACCAGGCTTGTTCTATAAACTCTGCCCTGGAGAAGGACACACCTGCTCCACTGTCACCCTACAACAGAGGTCATCAGAGGTCAACATGGGGTGTGTGTGTGTGTGTGTCTAATGTGTTATTTCCATACCCATACCCACTCACCAGAAAGAGGCTCTGCAGTTTCTCATAGTCCTCCAGGCTCAGCCTGCTCTCCAGTAGTCCCGCCTCCCTCTTGGTCTCCATGGTTTCCACTCAGACAGGGTCACAGCCAGCATCATCTAAAGGTTCCAGACAGGGGTGTGTGCAAGGAGGAAAGCACAGACAGCTATTGGAAGGGTTTTGTATTTGTGATTGCTTAGATACAGTGTCAACTACCGTATGAATCACTCATATCTCTAAGAGCTACTCGACAAAGCAATCTGCTCTAAGCCAATCATACACTATAACAGTCTATATGTACTGCTCAGTGTTGTCATGGCAGCAGAATCATAAAGTTCAAGAGGCAGAGAAAAACAAGGGGTCAACCCCTGCTGAGCTTAAAGGTCCAATATCAAATAATTTCTAGGTAACAATTACGTACCTTACTGTGATTGTTTTCAATTCAAATGGTCAAAAAGGAAACAGAAATATCTTCTTAGCAAAGAGCAATTTCTCAAGCAAGAATTTTGCAAGTACTGTCTGGGAATGGTCAGAGCGGGGACGGGAAAACTGAAAACTAGCTGTTATTGGTTTTGAACTCTCTTTCTTATTGGTCTATTAACTAATTTACCGCCTGGTGATGTCACCTGGCAGGCCAAAACTCCATCCTACCAAAACAGGCTGAAATTTCAGGCAGTGTTTTCAAACAGCTCTTAGACTAAAAGGGCATTATCATAATTCTCACCATTTCACAGTATTATTCCAACCTCAGTGTGGAAATTTATAAAATATAGTAAAATCACATTAAACTGCACTTGGCCTTTAAATCTGTGAATAAATGAAAGCACACTATCTGTGTGGCAGTGTGGCTTCAGTAGTAGTGTGGTTGATCCTTCCAGCAATACTGTCTACTTGAACCAGGGTTGGGCTCAATTCTGAATCTTGGAATTGACTCCCATTCAACTCATGAGTTGAAATTCTAATTGAATTGGCCACACACACCACAGGATGTAGAATTTGAACAACAGGAAGTCAAATTTAATTCAGTGCAATTCAAAGAAATTCCCCTCAGTCATAGAACATGAGAGTTTAATTTAATCTGACAGGTCACACTTCCAGATACTGGTGAAGATTTTTCAGTTAACTATTAGATAAACAAAGTTAATCACAGACATGAAGATCATGAAGTCAGAATTAAACATGGGTACTCTCTGTTGCTGGGCAAGAACTTAATTGATTCCTTTCACTGGGTTTGTGTGTGTGTGTGAAATGGGACTATTGCCTTTTGCCTCTCTCCTTAAACAAAGTATTGGGAGCGGAGCCAGAGTTGAACAGAGTTCAGACTAATCATGAGTAATTACAGCATGACGGGAGGGAAAAGAGGAGTTGGGTTTGGGAGATTGAGTGTGGACCTGTCATGTCCAACAATCAATCTTCAGGTCAAGCCAGGGTGAGCCGGTGTTGAACAGAGTTTAAACTGAACATGATTATTTTTGCATGACAAGGGCTTGATTGATTGTACTACTATTGATTCTAAACTGAATAAAAGTCCAATTTAGCCGCTATCATAGACTACGGAAGTGGGCAGAGCGGGCGAGAGGGGGAAACTGAGGATGGTGGTGGGGGAACCCAAGAGGGAGGGGCTTTAAGCGGAGATGTATGTGAAAATTACTATATAAAACAGAGCTGGGAGGTGAAAAGGGAGATGCTTTGCAAATCACCTCGGCTTTGTATTTGTAATAAAGTCTATCTTAATTCTACAAAAACTCTGAAATAGTTTGATTCTTTGATTAGTATAAGGATGAAATTTTCCACATCAATACCAAAGAATATCACTTTTCTTTGAAAACAACATCCATATACTTTTTTAACCTTAGTTCTTAGAATAGCCAATTGTATTTCCACCAATCATTTCATTTGTTTGGCTTCTTTTAGAAGGCTTTAGGGTCAACTTGAGGGTTAAACTAATGCATTCTGGGAAATGTAGTATTTTCTCCCCATATTGAACAACATTTAAGTGATTAATGAAATACACTGCTCAAAAAAATAAAGGGAACACTTAAACAACACAATGTAACTCCAAGTCAATCACACTTCTGTGAAATCAAACTGTCCACTTAGGAAGCAACACTGATTGACAATAAATGTCACATGCTGTTGTGCAAATGGAATAGACAACAGGTGGAAATTATAGGCAATTAGCAAGACACCCCCCAATAAAGGACTGGTTTTGCAGGTGGTGACCACAGACCACTTCTCAGTTCCTATGCTTCCTGGCTGATGTTTTGGTCACTTTTGAATGCTGGCGGTGCTTTCACTCTAGTGGTAGCATGAGACGGAGTCTACAACCCACACAAGTGGCTCAGGTAGTGCAGCTCATCCAGGATGGCACATCAATGCGAGCTGTGGCAAGAAGGTTTGCTGTGTCTGTCAGCGTAGTGTCCAGAGCATGGAGGCGCTACCAGGAGACAGGCCAGTACATCAGGAGACGTGGAGGAGGCCGTAGGAGGGCAACAACCCAGCAGCAGGACTGCTACCTCCACCTTTGTGCAAGGAGGAGCAGGAGGAGCACTGCCAGAGCCCTGCAAAATGACCTCCAGCAGGCCACAAATGTGCATGTGTCTGCTCAAACGGTCAGAAACAGACTCCATGAGGGTGGTATGAGGGCCCGACGTCCACAGGTGGGGGTTGTGCTTACAGCCCAACACCGTGCAGGACGTTTGGCATTTGCCAGAGAACACCAAGATTGGCAAATTCGCCACTGGCGCCCTGTGCTCTTCACAGATGAAAGCAGGTTCACACTGAGCACGTGACAGACGTGACAGAGTCTGGAGACGCCGTGGAGAACGTAGCCTGACTGCCATTAGGTACCGAGATGAGATCCTCAGACCCCTTGTGAGACCATATGCTGGTGTGGTTGGCCCTGGGTTCCTCCTAATGCAAGACAATGCTAGACCTCATGTGTCTGGAGTGTGTCAGCAGTTCCTGCAAGAGGAAGGCATTGATGCTATGGACTGGCCCGCCTGTTCCCCAGACCTGAATCCAATTGAGCACATCTGGGACATCATGTCTCGCTCCATCCACCAACGCCAAGACTGTCCAGGAGTTGGCGGATGGTTTAGTCCAGGTGTGGGAGGAGATCCCTCAGGAGACCATCCGCCACCTCATCAGGAGCATGCCCAGGCATTGTAGTGAGGTCATACAGGCACGTGGCCACACACACTACTGAGCCTCATTTTGACTTGTTTTAAGGACATTACATCAAAGTTGGATCAGCCTGTAGTGTGGTTTTCCACTTTAATTTTGAGGGTGACTTCAAATCCAGACCTCCATGGGTTGATAAATTTGATTTCCATTGATCATTTTTGTGTGATTTTGTTGTCAGCACATTCAACTATGTAAAGAAAAAAATATTTAATAAGATTATTTCATTCATTCAGATCTAGGATGTGTTATTTTAGTGTTCCCTTAATTTTTTTGAGCATTGTATAACTATGTGAACATAAATAATATTCACATACAGGTTTTCTCTTCCTTGTTCATTAATTTTAAGAGTTTGTCCTGAAAATCAATTGTTTCCTAAATATTTTATTTGCATGTATATCATATATTTGATGTTTTATGTGCAAGATGTATATTTGTATAGACTACACCTAATATAGAATAGAAGAGGCATTTACAGTAATTTCATTGAATTTTGTCACACAACACACTGCCACAGATGTCTCAAGTTTTGAGGGAGCGTGCAATTGGCATGCTGACTGCAGGAATGTCCACCAGAGCTGTTGCCAGAGAATTGAATGTTCATTTCTCTACCATAAGCTGCCTCCAACGTCGTTTTAGAGAATTTGGCAGTACGTCCAACCGGCCTCACAACCGCAGACCATGTGTAACCACGCCAGCCCAGGTCCTCCACATCCGGCTTCTTCACCTTTGGGATCGTCTGAGGGGGGGGGGTGGGGTGCTGAGGAGTATTTCTGTCTGTAATAAAGCAATTGTGTGGGGAAAGACTCATTCTGATTGGCTGGGCCTGGTTCCCCAGTGGGAGGGCCTTTTCCTCCCAGACCCACCCATGGCTGAGCCCCTGCCCAGTCATGTGAAATCCATAGATTAGGGCCTAATTAATTTATTTCAATTGACTGATTTCCTTATATGAACTGCAACTCAGTACAATCTTTGAAATGGTTGCATGTTGCGTTTATATTTGTGTTCAGTATATTTCCTTTAATTCGAATTGCAATTCTGTATCCTGTTTACTACTTCAATTCAAATTCAAGAATTTGAATTTATGAGGCATTCTCAATTCAATTCTGAATTGAGCACAACCCTGACCTGAACCATAATGGTAACCAAGCCAAATATACCTTTTACACATGCATACATTACACATACATCTACTTTCAAACATACCAGCTCCTAGTCAGACGGTCCTCTGCTCACGTCACCCTGACTGGGTCTCCTCCCCCAGGTGTCCTTAAGGGGGTCCAGAGGTCTTCAGAGCTGCTTTCACACCATTACGTAAGGCACTACCAACAAGTCTTCGATGTAGCATTGGTTTGAATGAAGTTTTCATTGATCCCCATTTTCTCCAAGAGAGTGTCTGAATGTATTTTTTCTTCAGTTTGTTCACTCTTTCCCCTCACACCACTAAGTTGAAGTATAGGACAGGGTTGAAACCAGCACTACCACTCCTCTAGTACCGTAGCACACACTCACAGAGAGTTAACAACCACCAGTAGCCATAACAGTGGCAAAGAAAGCCCCCCCCCCCCCCCACCCCACACTCTTCTTTGATTTTATTATCCCTCTCTTTCAAAGCCTGGAGTCTCCTAGCAACCACGTAGTGAGAGTGAGGCTTGTGTTTGTGTCCAGCAGGCAGTTTCTCTGGTCTATTCAGATTGGACACCGGAGAAGAGCTTATCTTAGACCAGGGTACAATTAACCCCTACACACACACACACACACACACACATACACACATACACACACACCGCACTGTAACATGTTGAGTATAGCAACAGAGTAATTCACCAATTGCTTTAACAATCACTCCAACACATGACACCTACGAACACACACAAACAGACGATGGGGTGGAGAGAACATTTGAGTTTCATGACAGTTTCCAAATGTCTTTGTTACTCCTCTACCTCTTACTCCTGATGGTGAACACACACACACACACACACACTCTCCAGTATCGTGGCTGATTAATGGCTAATAATTTGACTTAGCTGATAACAGCCGCCGTCAATGGCAACACGATCCGAAATTAGGTCTCCAAGATTTCACTAATAAACTTAAGAAAAAAAACGCTTTCAGAATTGGATTAACCGACTGCTGGAAACGGGTACTGACCAAGAGTAGCTCCTTAAATCCACTGTTACACAGAGCAAAAAGAAATGCCCATATTACATGTGAAATGACAAAAGCAAAAGACCCTTTTAAAATATTTCCAAAATGTTTAAACTATTTATTTGAACATTTTTGCGACCAAATATCTGTTAAATATACACCATCATCATGTCTCATTGTTCCAAGTTAGAACGTGAGAAAAGCAGAAGCCCCTTGTATTTACACTTTGCTTTAGGAATGCCTTCATGGCCACATTAAGGCCCGGTGTTTTGGCTTTCACATGGACAGAGTGAGAGAGTGAGAGAAAGTGCAAGAAAGAGAGGGGGGGTGGGGAAGAGAGGGAGAAAAAGAGAGGTGCATTGGCATAAGATACTCTGTGGCGGTAGCATGATCGTGGCGAAACAAATACAATGAAAAAAAAAAAAAATCTCTCTGGCAATTATAGTCTGGCTGCCTGCAACTCTAAATACATGATCCCCCATGAAGCAAAGACTTAGAAATGATAGTCACAAAAACAGAATCTTATAAAGGGTTTCCTATTCTCTGTTAAAAGCCTGGGTTAGTGTGGTTAACCCAGTCTATGTCACGGTCTTGAAGGTCTGGAGTATTAGGTTGGTTTGGTGGATGAGCCTGTTCGCGCTGACAAACACGTTTATCGCCCTGGAAACAAGCGGGACAGAGAGAGACAGGGACACACATGATAGGCGGTGTCAGTCACAGGAAACCATGGCAATAATGGGATTGATACAGTGCTTTGATCTGTCAAAATGTCAGGCTTCAGAGAATCAAGCCTAAATGTGATTTCACAGTGAATGGTAATGGGAATTATTAAACGACCCTGAAAATGCCAAGTATCGTTTCTGCCACAGTGTCACATGTTCTACTAAGCAGTACACCAGACAAAAAAAACTAATAATTATATTGAATTCTGCTTATATCCCGCTATACCACAATAAACAAAGTTAAAATGCCGAGACACTGAGACCATTGAGCGCTTTTGAAGTGACAGGTTGATGCGAAATCTGTAACCCATCTCCTCTGTGCTTTATCAGCACAATGGACAGCGCCCTACACAGTAAAGCAAGGACTATTTAGCAACGGATATAGGCTACTAGATAGGGTCATTCACCTATTACAAACAGCCTATGTGAACGCAGCGGAATACAACTTGTTTTTTTTTCCCACAGTGCAGTGCTTCTATGAACCAGTTGCTATTAAATGAACGTTTTTGGACAGAAAAACCTGCTGCTAGGTAGGATTCTAGGCTAACCTGGACTCCTCTGTTCCAAGATTTTCAGGAACAGTCAAGGTGGAGGGGGCTTGTGGAGCAATTATCCTGGCGGCACTTGTGGAAAGGGGGATGGGGCTCTTCAGGCAGAGATCAGCAGCATCATCGCTGCTGGGCTTGGTGGCAGCCTCGGTGGTTTGATTTCTGATATCCATTATAGCCGTGGCAGATTAGCTGGTTAGCGTTAAATAGGCTAATAACACTGAAGCCTTTTACAGCTAGCTAAGAAACTAACTAAACTCTGTAGTGGTGGGGCGTGAGGCAGAGTTGAGTGAAGCAGCTTCAACTGTAAACTTGACCCCGCCCTTATAAATCTAATATTACAGGAGGAGGCGGATCTCGTTATTCACTTAGCCTATCAAAGATGAGCAGCGTTTTACCCCGCTTTTTATGGAAACCCAAAAGGAGTCATACCTAACCACCCAATGGCTTTCCATGGCCCTCCCTACACACAAACACTCCTCGGCGTGCTCTGTCCATAGTGCTGACATAGCGCAGATACAGATTTGCACCAACCTGTCACTAAATCATTTGAAATGTATTGCTATTTTTATATAGGGACATAAAACTAAAACTGAGAGGGCTAAGCCCCCTTTTGCACCCTCGTACGCCGGGCCCGCAGTACACTTGCCCCGGACAAGCACACCTGATTTAACTTGCCAACTAATCATCAAGCTCTCGATGAGTTGAATCAGGCGATTTTGTCCAGGGCTACAACAAAAATGTGTACTGTTGAGGGTACTGGAGGACTGGAGTTGGGCTGCTGAGAGGTACTGGAGGACTGGAGTTGGGCTGTTGAGGGTAGTGGAGTTGGGAAAACACTGCTCTACATGATTCAGATGTAAACCAGATGTAAACCAGATGTAAACCAGATGTAAACCAGTATGGGTGATACATTGTACAGGCCATGGAAGAGAAAAGCAGGGTAGAACATGAAGGAGGACGTGATGAGGTTTCCTTACTTTCCATCTTTGAAGTATGTTTTAAGTGTGTCGCTGAAGCTCTTGGAGTATTTCACAAACTCTTTCTTTTGGTGTTCCAGTGCCTGGGAAAACAACAGACGCTTTTTACGCTTTAAGAAGATAACAGAGGAAAAAACACAAGTACATCTCAAACTCTGCTGATAGCTGAGGGAGAAAGAAAATACATTTGTCTTAATTGGCCTGTGTGTGTGTGTTCTCACCCGTCGGTTCTGGTACTGGTATTTTCGGAAGACAGTGTTGACCGTGTCCAGGAGTTCCTTTATGGCGCTGGCGATATCTCTGTGGACAGAGCAGAAAATTATATTTTTGGTCCATCAGCCAATGTGGCAGGTAGATTTTAAAATCTACCAGCCACTCAGATTTTTTACCAGTGAAAATATTTTTTCCCCCTGCTAAAATTACACCAACAAAACACAAAAACCGTATGAGCATGCTTTGTAATGTTTCTAGTAAGAAGTCATGTGGTATATTCATGGTCCTCTGTAGCTCAGCTGGTAGAGCATGGCGCTTGTAACGCCAAGGTAGTGGGTTCGATCCCCGGGACCACCCACACACAAAAAAAAAATGTATGCACGCATGACTGTAAGTCGCTTTGGATAAAAGCGTCTGCTAAATGGCATATTATTATTATTATATTATATATTAAATTGTGAAGTGAGTCTTTTTTTTTCACCTGCCCCTTTAAGCGCTGGAGGTTACCATGGTAGCGTGACTCGAGTCATGTTTGTACCTGTGAGATTGAGTCTGACTAGTAGAGGCGTTATCTTCTCTTCCCTAGCAGTTGAAACTCAAACATAGAAAAACAAGCTAGCTTGTGAACAAAACAATGTAAATAGCCAAGAAACACAAGGACAAAGTTTCACTTCAGTAGACTTTAGTTTTAAGTCAATTAGACCAACTTTTATGCCTGTGCGCAGCGCTTCTAAAAATGAATCTTTCACTCAGCTCTTCACATGCGCACATCCCCCAGTCAGGCAGTGCTGCAGCGCCAGGTGGGATAGGCTATATAGGATTCTTAGTTCTTCAGTCCAACGTGGCTGGTGAAATAGACATCTTAACCCCCAACGTGGCTGGTGAAATAGACATCTTACCCCCCCAACGTGGCTGGTGAAATAGACATCTTACCCCCCCCCCAACGTGGCTGGTGAAATAGACATCTTACCCCCCCCCCAACGTGGCTGGTGAAATAGACATCTTACCCCCCCCCAACGTGGCTGGTGAAATAGACATCTTAACCCCCAACGTGGCTGGTGAAATAGACATCTTACCCCCCAACGTGGCTGGTGAAATAGACATCTTAACCCCCAACGTGGCTGGTGAAATAGACATCTTAACCCCCAACGTGGCTGGTGAAATAGACATCTTAACCCCCAACGTGGCTGGTGAAATAGATATCTTACCCCCCCCAACGTGGCTGGTGAAATAGACACCTTACCCCCCAACGTGGCTGGTGAAATAGACACCTTACCCCCCAACGTGGCTGGTGAAATAGACATCTTACCCCCCAACGTGGCTGGTGAAATAGACATCTTAACCCCCAACGTGGCTGGTGAAATAGACATCTTACCCCCCCCAACGTGGCTGGTGAAATAGACATCTTACCCCCCAACGTGGCTGGTGAAATAGACATCTTAACCCCCAACGTGGCTGGTGAAATAGACATCTTAACCCCCAACGTGGCTGGTGAAATAGATATCTTACCCCCCCAACGTGGCTGGTGAAATAGACATCTTAACCCCCAACGTGGCTGGTGAAATAGACATCTTAACCCCCAACGTGGCTGGTGAAATAGACATCTTACCCCCCAACGTGGCTGGTGAAATAGACATCTTAACCCCCAACGTGGCTGGTGAAATAGACATCTTAACCCCCCAACGTGGCTGGTGAAATAGACATCTTAACCCCCAACGTGGCTGGTGAAATAGACATCTTACCCCCCAACGTGGCTGGTGAAATAGACATCTTACCCCCCCCAACGTGGCTGGTGAAATAGACATCTACCCGCATTTGTCAGGTGTTCATTTTAGGCCCTGTCTGTGGACAATGACTACAACAGCAGTCAGACATCTTGAACCATCTCACCTCTCTTACGCCTTCTTAGTCCAACAGCAGTCAGACATCTTGAACCATCTCCCCTCTCTTACTCCTTCACCTTCCCTCCATCCCTACCTCCTTCCTAGAACCTCTTACTCTCAGACTTGCTCTCATTCCTCTCACTTTCCCCCCCTCCAGGCAAAGTGAGCCAAAACAGAAACCCCTGAAAGAATAAGTGTGGGGGAGAATAATTGTGCGGGCTGTGTGTGTGTGTGTGTGTGTGTGTGTGTGTGTGTGTGTGTACTAACCTGAGACGTAGTGTTGATTGGAAAGAAAATGGGAACAAGAGAATAAGTGTATTTTTGGAGAACTGTGTGCTTGTGAAGTGTTAAATCACATCACTGAGGGTGTGCTGGGAGGTCTGCGAGCGCATGTGTACTTACTTGATGGTCTGTAAGAAGCGTACTCTGTCGTTGATCTCATCTGGGATCTTGCTGAGGATGTGTTTGAGTGCCCGGGCCTTGTCATTCAAGTCCTGGAACTCCTGCTCCGGCCTGTCAATCATGAACTCTACACACACACACACACACACACAGGAAGAGAGCCACAGCCTCAGTCACCATGGAGACAGTCAGGTCAACAAGGAGAGGTGGTGGATTGTAGAGAGAGAGCGTTCCAGAACAGCCCCACCCAGGGCAGTCTGTGCACACACACATACAGTACTGTGAGTTAGAAAAAGGTACCAGTGTAGTGTAGCCTGGTTGAAAGTAGTCACACCCCTTGACTTTTTCCACATTTTATTGTGTTACAGCCTGAATTTTAAGATTTTGTGTCACTGGTCTACACACAATAACCCATAATGTCAAAGTGAAATTATGTTTTTCAAACATTTTACTAATTAATAAAAAATGAAAAGCTGAAAATGTCTTGAGTCACCCCTTTCTTGTGGCAAGCATAATTAAGTTCAAGAGTAAACATTTGCTTAACAAGTCACACAATAACTTGCTTGGACTCACTCTGTGTGCATTAATAGTGTTTAACATGATTTCTGAATGACTACCTCATCTCTGTACCCCACACATACAATTATCTGTACGCTCCCATCAGTTGAGCAGTGAATTTCAAACACAGATTCAGTCGCAAAGAAGGGCACCTATTGGTAGATAAAAAATAAAAAAAACGTTGAATATCCCTTTCAGCATGGTGAAGTTATTAATTACACTTTGGATGGTGTATCAATACACCCAGTCACTACAAAGATACTGGCGTCCTTCCTAACTCAGTTGCCAGAGAGGAAGGAAACCTCTCATGGATTTCACCATGAGGCCAATGGTGACTTTAAAACAGTTACAGAGTTGAATGGCTGTGAACAACATTTTAGTTACTCCACAATACTAACCTAATCGAAAGAGGGAAAATAAGGAAGCCTGTACAGAATAAAAAATATTCCAAAGCAATCGGGCACTAAAGTAAAACGGCAAAAAATGGACTTTATGTCCTGAATACAAGGTGTTATGTTCGGGGAAAACCCGATGGCTGCATCATGTTATGGGTATTCGATGGCTGGTGGCTGCATCATGTTATGGGTATGCTTGTCATCGGCAAGGACTAGGGAGTTTTTTGTGATAAAAAGAAACGGAATAGAGCTAAGCACAGGCAAAATCCTAAAGGAAACCTTGGTTCAGTCTGCTTTGCAACAGACACTGGGAGACAAATTCACCTTTCAGCAAGACAATAACCCAAGGCCAAATATACACTGGAGTTACTTACCAAGACGACATTGAAAGTTCCTGTGTGGCCTAGTTACAGTTTTGACTTAAATCTGCAGGAAAATCTACAGGAAGAACTTAAAAGTAATAATACGGTGCAAATATTGTACAATCCAGCTGTGCAAAGAAACTTACCCAGAAAGACTCAGAGATGTAATCACTGCCAAAGATTATTCGAACATGTACTGACTCAGGGGTGTGAATATTTATGTAAATGAGATTTCTGTATTTCATTTTCAATAAATTTGCTAAACATTCTTTTAAAATGTTTTTACTTTTGTCATTATGGGGTATTGTGTGTAGATGGGTGATATTTAATCAATTTTGAATTCAGGCTGTAACACAACAAAATGTGGAATAAGTCAATGGGTATGAATACTTTCTGAAGGCACTGTATATTTAGTATTCAAACAGAAGCAAAGGCCCTCACATCCCGGTGTGACTGTGTGTGTGTGTGTGTGTGTGTGTGTGTAACTATAGCTGAGCTTCTCATTCTGTGCAAATTAATTCATTACTACTATCAATCAGGCCATGCAGGAGAGAAATTCAAGCCTGGAGGGATGAAATGTCTCACACGAGGAGAGGCTGTATTATTAGTGGAGAAACAGCACCATCCTGTGGAGAGAGACGGTACTGTACACAGATGCACAATACCTAACATCTAGGACTAGGTTATTCACTGCAGAACAGACACACAAGCAGACATTGACAGACCCAGACACACACCTTCCACATCGTCTGCAGCCATTCGCAGTAGTGACTCAGTGAAGTTGACCTCCACGTTCTTCTTCTCCAGGATCTTCATGATTATGTCCTGGGTCAGCCCTGGGTTCTCCTTCTCAGCCTGACAATCAACCACAGAACACACATCAGGCTCTGCTAATCAACCACAGAGTACACACAACAGTCTATGACAACAATTTTCCCCTAGCATTTGTCATGGGGATGAGAGTTTTAAAGCACATTTCCTGTAATGCTACACATTTTGCAATGTGACTGAGTGACCCAAACATAAACTAAATCAATGGGGGCCCCATGCCATTACATTTGGGGAATTGTTTATTAACCCTGACTCTAGATTTTATTTTGGTGTTTGTTAGTTCCTAAAGATCTAATAAAAATATATATATCTTCATTGTATTTTCTACATACTTTATATCTGGGGGTTAACAACATCTTTTTTGGAATAGCAGCAATGATTTAGCAGCAGCGCTAAATGAATAGGGGAAACACTGGACAATCACCCACAGAACATATGCAGACACACACATCAGGCATTACTAATCAACCACAAAACACACACTTCAGTCTATGATAATAGAACACAGACCAATGATCAGAGTTAGACACTACCAATCAAAGACTAAATCAGATGTGAATCTAAGATCAGTCACCGTGGAACCACTCAGAAGGGTATTATTCTCCGAAGCTAGTTAAATCTACTCAAGCTAACCAGCTTCAGTTAGCTTCAAATTCCAGCTCAGGCTTTATCCATGATAGGAAGGCGGCTATTGATCCTGCACCTGCCGCTAATTCAAGCCAGTTATCCTGCAAATTCAGCAGGCTATGGTGGGAATGGGCTATTAGAAGTGCAGTCTTTCTTTGTGTCAACGGTTATCTCGAATTGAACTCAGAATTGACAAAAGTGAGCTCGCTAACTCCTCTATCCCGCATCCTAGTATACCCCTCAGGACTATTCTGTCTCTCAAACTCCTGTCCCTCCCCATGAAGAGTGATTTGGTGTATGGGTCCTTACCTTTATAAACGCTGCCCTGTCCTTCCATCTCCTTACCTTTATAAACGCTGCCCTCCCCTCCATCTCCTTACCTTTATAAACGCTGCTCTGTCCCTCCATCTCCTTACCTTTATAAACGCTGCTCTGTCCCTCCATCTCCTTACCTTTATAAACGCTGCCCTTCCCTCCATCTCCTTACCTTTATAAACGCTGCCCTCCCTCCATCTCCTTACCTTTATAAACGCTGCCCTCCCCTCCATCTCCTTACCTTTATAAACGCTGCCCTCCCCTCCATCTCCTTACCTTTATAAACGCTGCCCTCCCCTCCATCTCCTTACCTTTATAAACGCTGCCCTCCCTCCATCTCCTTACCTTTATAAACGCTGCCCTTCCTCCAATATCCTTACCTTTATAACCGCTTTGCCCTCCCCTCCATCTCCTTACCTTTATAACGCTGCCCTCTCCATCTCCTTACCTTTTATAAACGCTGCTCTGTCCCTCCATCTCCTACCCTTTATAAACGCTGCCCTGTCCTCATCTCCTCTACCTTTATAAACGCTTTGCCCTCCCCTCCAATCTCCTTACCTTTATAAACGCTTTGCCCTCCCCTCCCATCTTCCTTACCTTTATAAACGCTGCCTCCCTCCATCTCCTTACCTTATAAACGCTGACCCTCTCCATTCTCCTCTACCTTTAGAAACGCTGCTCTGTCCCTCCATCTCCTTACCTTTATAAACGCTGCCCTCAAGGTCTGTGCTGCCGACAGGTTCACTCTCTCCAACTGCAAACACATTATCACTGCATCAAAACACTTCTTACAGATACCATCTTCTCATTAACATATACACATCTCACAAACAAGGAAAACACATAGCTGAACTAAGTACCACAACATGAAAACACTTCAAACAGCATAGCTAGTAGCTACATACATGGAATACCATCTCATTAGCTAACACTGCAGACAAACAACCCCTAGAGTAGACTGGTACACATAAACAGCATTGAACAAAACAAGAATGTGTGTTATTGGTTTTACTATCCTTGTGGGGACCAGGAGTCCTTCCAAGGAGAGTAAAACAGGACAATTTTGACAAAGTGGGGACATTTTGTCGGTCCCCACAAGGAAAAGGGGTATTTTATGGTTAGTTTTACGAGTTAAGGTTAGTTTAAAGGTTTAAGGTTAGGGAAAATAGGATCTTGAATGAGAATAAATTGTTTGATCCCGCAAGGATAGTAGTCGTGTGTGCGACTAACACCTGGACTAGCGGAGTCAGTGTACAGTCGTGGTTAAACGTTTTGAGAATGACACAAGTATTGGTCTTCACAAAGTTTGCTGCTTCAGTGTTTTTAGATATTTTTGTCAGATGTTACTATGGTATACTGAAGTATAATTACAAGCATTCCATAAGTGTCAAAGGCTTTTATTGACAATTACATTAAGTTTATGCAAAGAGTCAATTTTTGCAGTGTTGACCCTTCTTTTTCAAGACCTCTGCAATCCACCCTGGCATGCTGTCAATTAACTTCTGGGCCACATCCTGACTGATGGCAGCCCATTCTTGCATAATCAATGCTTGGAGTTTGTCAGAATTTATGGGTTTTTGTTTGTCCACCCGCCTCTTGAGGATCGACCACAAGTTCTCAATGGGATTAAGGTCTGGGGAGTTTCCTGGCTATGGACCCAAAATGACGATGTTTTGTTCCCCGAGCCACTTAGTTATCACTTTTGCCTTACTGTTCTTGGATGGTTGGGAGAAGTTGCTGCCCCGATCCCGCAGCTGAATCAACTTTAGGAGACGGTCCTGGCGCTTGCTGGACTTTCTTGGGCGCCCTGACGCCTTCTTCACAACAATTTAACCTCTCTCCTTGAAGTTCTTGATGATCCGATAAATGGTTGATTTAGGTGCAATCTTAATAGCAGCAATATCCTTGCCTGTGAAGCCCTTTTTGTGCAAAGCAATGATGACGGCACATGTTTCCTTGCAGGAAACCATGGTTAACAGAGGAAGAACAATGATTTCAAGCACCACCCTCCTTTTAAAGCTTCCAGTCTGTTATTCTAACTCAATCAGCATGACAGAGTGATCTCCAGCCTTGTCCTCGTCAACACTAACCTGTGTTAATGAGAGAATCACTGACATGATGGCAGCTGGTCCTTTTGTGGCAGGGCTGAAATGCAGTGGAATGGGGAATTTTGGGGGGATTAAGTTCATTTTCATGGCAAAGAGGGACTTTGCAATTAATTGCAATTCATCTGATCACTCTTCCTGACATTCTGGAGTATATGCAAATTGCCATCATCAAAACTGAGGCAGCAGACTTAGTGAAAATTAGTATTTGTGTCATTCTCAAAACTATTGACCACGGCTGTAGTGCAGCTGAAACAGCAGCCTCCCCAACATCAAACTCCTTTGCATCATCAGAGTGCCAACTGGTGCTACACACAGTAATTATCACACTCCTCCGTCCCTCGCTCTTTCCTTCTATTCTTCCCTAGCACCCTCACCCCTTTACCACAACTTGCACTACCCCTCTCTTCTCGCTGAGGTCTGTGACTACCCCTCTCTTCTCGCTGAGGTCTGTGACTACCCCTCTCTTCTCGCTGAGGTCTGTGACTACCCCTCTCTTCCCGCTGAGGTCTGTGACTACCCCTCTCTTCCCGCTGCTCTCACTGAGGTCTGTGACTACCCCTCTCTTTCCGCTGCTCTCGCTGAGGTCTGTGACTACCCCTCTCTTCCCGCTGAGGTCTGTGACTACCCCTCTCTTCCAGCTGAGGTCTGTGACTACCCCTCTCTTCTCGCTGAGGTCTGTGACTACCCCTCTCTTCTCGCTGAGGTCTGTGACTACCCTCTCTTCTCCCGCTGAGGTCTGTGACTACCCCTCTCTTCTCGCTGAGGTCTGTGACTACCCCTCTCTTCTCGCTGAGGTCTGTGACTACCCCTCTCTTCCCGCTGCTCTCGCTGAGGTCTGTGACTACCCCTCTCTTCCCGCTGCCTCGCTAAGGTCTGTGACTACCCCTCTCTTCCCGCTGCTCTCGCTAAGGTCTGTGACTACCCCTCTCTTCATTCACTCTCTTTTTTCTGCCTGACAACTTCCACCTATAGGGCCCTAGAAAATCAGATTCATTTTTTCGCCGGATTCTGTTTTTTCCCCAAATTCCAGTTTCTCCTCTTTGTTTTTCCAGTTTTCCACTCTCAAAAGCACACTGTTTTAATAGAAAATAAACACAATTGGATGTCCTACGTCCACAACAAAACGGTTGTCATTACATTAGCATCATCGATAACGGCTACACAAAGTGGTAGACACAAAGCGCAGACACAGGCCTTCCTGTGCTGTTGCCTCTTCAGCAAGTTGAAGGAAAGTACGAATCCCTGATGATAATCTTTCAAATAAATTCAATACATTTAGTTCATCAATACATTTTTGAATATTGCTGAATTCTGTTTTAATGTCTGGATTCCGTGATTCCGTCCACAACACAGATGTTATAGAGCCCTGTCCCTATTTCTCCATTCCAACCACACTCTCTCTCGTCTCTAAGGGTAATTAAATCTGTGTTATTTCTGCTGTGGCTGGATATAACCTTAAAGACCATAGCACACACACGCCCCATTCAAGAAACACTACATACCGTCTTTACCAAATCCTTTCCTCCTTACCTCGTGGAAGACGGGGTACATCACAGTGTAGAGTGTCATGGAAACCATTGAGGTAGTCTCTGCTTCATTCTTCATCTCTTCCATTGTCATCCTCGTCCAGAGGCCAACGTTTCTGTATGTGTGTGTGTGTGTCTGTTTCTGTATGATTGTGTGGAGTGAAGGCTGCTACAGGGGCAGGGCTCGCCTCATTCACTCACTACTACACTCAGAGAAGAGAAGGCTGGGGGGCAGGACCTGAGGAGAGAAGCGGGGGGAAGAAAGGGTATGTGGGATAGAATGGGAGGTAAAGGACAGAAAAGACAATCCAATGTTCCAAGGCCTACTTTATCACTAAAATACCTCATTTAGGCTACTTTCATTGCTTCTGGTTGAGGTCTAAATTTAGGCCTTGTTTTTCTGTCCTAGTATTGTCAACAAACAACATCTAGCCTTGGAGGGCGATGACATTATATAACCAGGTAAACATTCCATCTGGCTCTGGTTCAAAGTCAAACGTGGGGCCGGGCGGTGGGTGTGGAGAGACAGACCCTAATCTCTACCATACACCTGCCCTGCCTGTGTACACCTGTGCTTCCAGGAAGGCATGCTACGGTTCTCTTTCCTCCTACTCTGACTGAAACATTCAGCAGCATTATCTAGTGTATGACGTCACCCTGGGCCATTACCAGACAGCACCTCACGTTGTGTAACTGGATGCAGTTACAGGCCAGAGAGGGAGTGTCAATGCTGCCCTTGTTCTGCAGATACTGACTGACTGTCTGAGTAGCCCAACAGTGACGGTTTCTTTCCTTATGTCATTGCGTTTCCATGACTCAGCCCCACCTGACGAAAGGTGACATTTCTATTTCTGGCCAGGCAGGCAGTATCTTTAAAGGGTGCTAATAAAATCATAGCTAGAAGCTGCTCTGAGCACTGCTCCCAGGTCAGCTTCATCCCTATTTATTCATTTCAGACCAGGATGGAGGAAGGAAAAACTGATCCTGGAGCAGAACACAGGGACAACTTTTCCCTAGAGCACTGCTGAGACTCCTTAGGCCACATGTGTCAAACTCATTCCACAGAGGGTCGAGTGTCTGCAGATTTTCACTCCTCCCTTGTACTTGATTGATGAAATAAGGTCACTAATTAGTAAAGAACTCCCCTCACCTGGTTGCCTAGGTGTTAACTGAAAGGAAAATCCCAAAACCTGCAGATACTAGGCTCTCCGTGGAATGAGTTTGACATCCCTGCCTTAGGCCATTTCCCAATAAGCTCACAACAAGCTTCCATTTCTTAACTAAATCACTTCATGGTCACTGATTTGAAAGAACTTGATAGAAGCCTTAAGGCACCATAGTGAGACTAGACGCATTCCGCCCATCAGTGAAGAGTGGGGGACAATAGCTGAGGAAAGGAAACGTATTGGACACCTTCTTTCTTACCTGACGCTATGCTTCTCTCCATTGCCTATTATCTGGCCAACTTTACTGAAGGATATACGCTGATTAGAAGGGCTACTGGGCCTTAAGAACATGACATCACTTTTAAGAACGACTGTCTCAGTTGTCTGTCTGTCATGGTACAAAGACCAAGCTATACATCTAAGTCCATTAAGACGTTATTTCAGCCAGTCATGCATTATCACATTGTAAAATTAATAGGTTTATTACTGGCCTTTATACCTAATTGTATGTCCACATAGTCGTTTGTCACATAAAGTAAGGCGCATGGACGGCTGACTGATCAGATAAGTCAACTGCTATGGAGAAATGTACAGCAGCTACAACATAACAACAGATGTCTCTCTCCATAATTCCCATCCACCAGTACCACCTCTTGTACTGTAGCTACCCCATACAGCTAGCTACCTGCCTGGTTAGTGTCTTGACTCGAGTAACGTTATACTGCCACATATTAGCTAATTACATTTCATTATAATGATGCCATCGTTTGATGAAAATTGAGGTGTAATTATTATTCCAAACACGAGAGTTTCTATGGGACAAATTCAGGTAACATAAGGTCCCTACTCGTTTCGTTCGGCTCCGTTGAAGAAACGTTTTGCAACAGAATCGGCGTGACTGTCTTGACAGGGCTAACGAAGTTCACGCCATTTCGATACCGAGGTGACTTTTTCGTAGCAGGTTAAGGTTAGGAAAATGCTCTCCTAACCTGTTACGAAAATCACATTGTATAGAAGTGGCGTGAAAAGAGTGTGTCCCGTCTTGACAGACTGAGACTGGCTAGCCAAGCTAGCTAACAGCTACCTTGCGACATTGACGGAATCGGTAGCGTTGTCGAGATAGCCAACCAGTTAGCTAGCTGAACCAAGGCTAATTAGCCAACTAGCGCTTAGCTATGTAAACAAGTTTCGTCGATTGTTAGCTAGCTATTTTAGCAAGCTGGGTATCACCTGACACTGGCAGTGCCAGAACCGTGGGATAACTTCAATTACACAACTAAGATTAACTAGTTAACGTTAGTTTAGCTATGTAATAGCTACAGTTTCGTTGCTTGTAGTTAATAATTTCATTGTCCTAATCCACCGACACACACCTATCTATGGTCACCAGCTAGCTAGATATCCTCCAATAACAGTGAGGGGAATTTCTCAATAGTAGTTAGCTACCATAGCAGGCAATTTGTAGGAATCATCGTCCAGGTAACGTTAGGTAGCTAGCTATGTGAGTGAATGCGCTAAATTACTAGCTAGCTACCTAAACAGGTAACGTTAACTAACTTAGCTCGCTATTTTAGCTAGCTAGCTAAACAACAACTATTTGCTAACGTTAGTTGGTGAAATAGTAACGTTGCCTTTAGCTACATACCTGTTTACACCGTGGCAGATTGCTTATTTAGACCGAAGTAGGCTCATTTGCCGTGGCTAGCATTAGCTAGCTAGTCGTGTGTTTTCTCTTCTCATTCAAAGACGGAAGTTTTCTGCATAATCAGACTGGCTGGGCAAGGTTTTTTTTCAGCTGGCCACTAAACGGGTTGACGGTTGTAGTTTTTCCTGACATCTCCAATTATGGCAGTGGACAAAGGCATAGTAACTATAAAAACTACAATTCCCAACTAGTTATAATATGCCAAGCAATTATGTGGCGTTCTACACGAAACAACTAAAGCATCAACAGGTTTATTTAGCCAAAAAAAATACAAAAACGATATCTCTCACAGACAAACTCCATTCCGGGCATACAAAAATGTTACATTGATAGCCTCGACGGGTACTGAAATAAAAAAGTGTGCGTTGTTTTACAGGAAGGGCTGTGGAGAACCAATCAGCGCGTGGAGAGGGCGGGACGAGGGCGAAAATATTTATCTCGGAGAGCGACCTGCGGCGGCGGTGAAGAGAACCAGCTAGGCACCGCACGATACCGTACAGCATCCCTACAGTACCTACCTGATACCGTTCGGTAAGGCACATTTACAATATTCTGATACGCAGAAATATGTTCAATACATTGTGTCACTTATACATCAATTGTTTGATTGCTGCCATTTTCACCTTTAGATTTGACAATTGGTGATTTTATCATAGTTTGTGATATGTTCTTGTTTTCACATTATAGAGGTGCGGTTTTATGCCATGGCAAAAATGAAGTTACTAGGCGACTACGAGGAATAATCTCTGTCACTTAGTGTTTTATTATAATTGTGTCTGTACTGAGTCTAATAATCTAATAAAGATGCTGATCTATCCACTAAAGGCAGTAGCATCATCGATAGACTATGAGGGGATTGTTTTTCAGTTGAGGACACAATTACTATATTGTGGGTCTCGAATGTCATTGAAATAGATTACGCCTGTTTTTGACTTGAAATTCCTTCCCTCAAGTAAAATGTTATAATAAAAGGGTTGAATTCTCGCCCAGGCCCCGGGACACCAACCTCCAGGCCAGGAAAACATTGTTGTTTTTGGAAACAGCTAACTTCCTGCATTTCAACACATTTAGTGTTGAAAAGATGATGCTGAGAGAAAATGTTGACGTTTAAAGCTAATTTCCTGCTATTCTACACATTATGCCATGACAAACATTTTGACTGACATGAATGACAATGCTAATGCACATTATCAAGGAGAACCTGTTACTTAAAAATGATTGAAAAATAGCAACCCAGTTAGTTCACTAGGCCTACATCACCTCCACCAAAGCCAATGGAAACGTTTTTTGTTTCTTCACTTTGCTTGTATAGAAACAAACTGAGCCGAACAAACATATTCTGTTATTAATCCCATGACGTATCGTTTGTTAATCTCTGATGATGAGCCGGCTGTGAACTTGGCTCCAGTATGTGTGTGTGTCACTCCTGTGATTCCCAGTGAGTGCTGAATTAATTGCGTTTCAATAATTAAATGCCTTTTAAATCAGCCTTGCGCCACAGGGGTGGGGTGGGGGGGTTATCAAATCACATTTTATTTGTCACATGCGCCGAATACAACAGGTGTAGACCTTACCGTGAAATGCTTACTTACAAGCCCTTAACCAACAATGCAGTTTTTTAAGAAAGAATACCCTAAAAAATATATATATATAAATAAAAGTAAAAAATAATTAAAGAGCAGCAGTAAAATAACAGTAGCGAGGCTATATACAGGAGGTACCGGCACAGAGTCAATGTGCGTGGGCACCTGTTAGTCGAGGTAATTGAGGGAATATGTACATGTAGGTAGAGTTATTAAAGTGACTTTGCAAGTAGATAATAAACAGAGAGTAGCAGCAACTGTGTTTGCAGTTGGTGCAGCACACAGAGGTGATAGAGGATAGGTATGCACAGAAGCTGCCACGGTTTCCTTGTCTGAGACCTGAAGAGAAGCTGGCTGTGTGCCTCCCAAGCAGGGGAAGGGCTGACCATTTAGCCTAGTGGGCACAGTGACTGTCCTTTGTGCAGCCAGGTGTGCTCCTAGCGGATGGCAGACAGTGGATGGCAGACAGTCATACTGTATCTTGCTGTAGGACAGATCAGACCTCATGCAGAAACAGGCCTCTGTTGAAAAAGCAAGCCTTGCCACGAGAGAGACCAAAGCAGAGAGTCACAGCAGGAACAAACGTCTGGGACATCGTTTATGGAACAACAGTATCTCTGAGTCCACTGGTAGGAATACATGATGGATGCAGTTGTACTGTATGTTAATGCACTGGAAGTGAGATTGAGAATGAGATTTGGATACATTGTAGCAAATATACTCTGTAGTGGCTGCCACATTGGAATACACACACACACACACACAAAGGGAGTGAAACAGCAGGTTTGTCCTTTACAATCCACAAGGGATTAGTAGAGAGAGAGAGAGAGAGAGAGAAAAAAAATGAGAGGGTGAAAGAGAAAGACTGAGAGAGAGAATAGATGGATAGTGAAGGTGCCAATACAGAGGGGAGATGACGGGCCGTTGTGGATGTTTAAAACTCCAGCCAGGGATTATACTCCTACCTAAAGTACCCCTAGACATCACCATATCACACACACACGTCACACATACAGTAACCATATCATAGATATTAATTTGTAATTAAACTGTAATGATGCTGTAGATTTCACCTCACCACCATACATCTCAACAAACCCATATACAGTAGTGGAACTATAGATATTCTCCCACACACCCTTTCCCTCTTTACCTAGTCCACAGCCCTGTGTTATAACACACACCCACACACTCACACAACACACTGTCCTCAGCACTGGTATTGATCTGCTGGTTGATGGCTGGCTGTTGTGGGTGGGCTGCTGATCAGGGGGAATGACTGATAGAGACAGATCCTGTCCTCCCTTCATTATCTTATCTCTCTCTCTCTCTCTCTCTCTCTCTCTCTCTCTCTCTCTCTCTCTCTCTCTCTCTCTCTCTCTCTCTCTCTCTCTCTCTCTCTCTCTCTCTCTCTCTCTCTCTCTCTCTCCCTTACTCCTTCCTGTGTCCTCCTCCTCTCCCACAGATGGTCGTTTTTTGTAACCTCTCCTCTATCCTCTTTAGTACATTTTAAAATGGCCTCCAGTCATTAACTTCACTCACTGACCCTAAATAAAAACCGATCCAATTACAGTGTGTTTCCCTGTGGGTGTATGGAATGGGGTCAAGCATTGTGGGGTGCTGTTGTGCTGTGTAAGGGGGGTGGGGGGGGGGGGTTTGTTGGTTAACTTTGGCTCCACGTCAGCCCTTGTTTCCCTGTTGTTTCTCTCTGTCTGTTAGCAAGGATTAATAAGTGGTTGACCTCAGTTGACCCCTGTGGTGTGAGCAGAGTGTACTATGGGATTTATGTGGCAGCTCGCATGACACCTGATTCAATTTACAAACAAGAGGGAGAGCAGGCTGTAGCAGCAATAGGTTATTAAATGCTATTCATTTCCTATGTTCCCTACAGTATACCAAGCAGAAGGAAATTACTGGAAGAAGTACTAAATGAAAGGGTAGAGGGACACAACCTCATTTGGACTGTTTGTTGTTGGTTGTTCTTACGCAAGTGTTTCAGAGCTTGGGGTGAGCTGAGAGCAGGGAGTGTCCCGTGGAGTCAGATCTGAGCTTAGAGTCCCTGTTCCCCTGTCTGTCTGTCTCTCTGGCTGTCCGTCTGTCTGTGTGTTTGTTTCTGTCTGTCACGCCCTGGCTCTGGGGACTCTTAAATGTTGAGCCAGGGTGTGGATTTTTCCTTGTTTAGCTTTCTAGGTTTGTCGTTCTAGATCGTGTATTTCTATGTTGGCCAGGGTGGTTCCCAATCAGAGACAGCTGTAGCTCGTTGTCTCTGATTGGGACCATACTTAGGCAGCCCGTTGGCATGTTACGTTGTGGGATCTTTGTTCCGAAAGGTTTGTGTTAACCTAGGACTTCACGTTTCGTTTGTTGTTTTGTTCGTGTGGTGTACTTCAATAAAAGATGTACGTTTATCACGCTGCGCCTTGGGTCCGCTTCATCTATCGACGATCGTGACACTGTCTGTGTGATGGGATATGAGAGGACAGAGCAGCACCAGAGTTCTAGATTGTTAGGCTGGTATGAGATGAACTGAAGAGGATTTTGGCTGGTGACACGGCATGACTGGATGGGGGGGGGGAGGAGGCTGGGGAAAGGAGGAGGGGAAGGAAGGATGGTTTGCTCTTGTTCTGTATCAGTGGATGAAGCTGTTGTCAGCTAGTCTCTTCATCACTTGTTCAATACAGGGGAGAGGGGTAGTCAGAGGAATGGAGGAGAGGAGACGATTCTGTTCTATCATAAAGAGGAGCTGTAGTTTCTGAGATATCGCTGCTCTCTGTGGTGTGTTGTTGAAGGGAGGGAGGGCTGAGCTACATAACAATAGGTGGGTCAATGATGTAACGCGCATATTTCAAATCAAATCAAATCAAATTGTATTTGCCACATGCGCCGAATACAACAGGTGTAGACATTACTTACAGCGCTTAACCAACAATGCATTTATTTTTTAATAAAAAGGTAAAATAAAACAACAACAACAAAAAAGTGTTGAGAAAAAAAGAGCAGAAGTAAAATAAAATAACAGTAGGGAGGCTATATACAGGGGGGTACCGGTGCAGAGTCAATGTGCGGGGGCACCGGCTAGTTGAGGTAGTTGAAGTAATATGTACATGTGGGTAGAGTTAAAGTGACTATGCATAAATAATTAACAGAGTAGCAGCAGCGTAAAAAGATGGGGTGGGGGTGGGGGGCGCAGTACAAATACTCCAGGTAGCCATGATTAGCTGTTCAGGAGTCTTATGACTTGGGGGTAGAAGCTGTTAAGGAGCCTTTTGGACCTAGACTTGGCGCTCCGGTACCGCTTGCCGTGCGGTAGCAGAGCGAACAGTCTATGACTTGGGTGACTGGAGTCTTTGACAATTTTGAGGGCCTTCCTCTGACACTGCCTGGTATAGAGGTCCTGGATGGCAGGAAGCTTGGCCCCAGTGATGTACTGGGCCGTACGCACTACCCTCTGTAGCACCTTACGGTTGGATGCCAAGCAGTTGCCATA